ACATCAGCACCTGCTGAAAGCAGGATCTGCACCACTCTCTCGTCGCCACAGACTGATGCCGCCTGCAGTGCACTTCTATGATACCCTCCTTGAGCATTGACATCAGCACCCAAGTCTAAAAGCGTCTGTACCTCTTTGTCCCAGCCCCTAGAGGATGCCCAGTGTAGTGCCGTGCTTCCTTCCCTGTCGGTCACCCGAATGACGGCGACATTGCCATTGTCGCATCCCAAAGCTGGCCGGTTTTCATGTAGGTTGTCCTTCGTTCGTTTCAAGAGTGCCCGGACGGTGTCCCGATGACCTTTCGCCATGGCAGCTAATATGGGATAATTATATCGTTCGGCTTTGTCATCTGCGGTTTCTCTGTTCCGTGGAAGCAAATGGATCAGCTTTGGGCAATTGTTCTCCGCAAGAATGTACATCAGACTTGCACTAGCAGTGTGTCGACGATCATAGGCCTCGAGAATGTTGGACACTAAGAGCCACTTGTCGAGATGGAACGACGACAGGAACTCCCCCTGCGTCGTCACTGGGGACACAGCTTCTTCGGCGTGGCGCCATATATACTCTGTTGCATACTTGAAGAATGGAAACATGTCTGTGATGGTTTTTCGCAGAAGTTTGCGAGCATCAGAGCTCGCCTTCGGAAGTTCCTGGTCGTCCATGACATACGTGGATATGTCGGTAAGGAGATAATTTGCGCAGCACGACTTCAACTGGTCGTGGCTCAGCGAGTGCAAGTTGCTGCCAAATTCGGGCCATAGCTCACTCAATCCGTTCTCCTTCAGCAAGTAGTCGCGCACAGACTCGTGAATGAACTGAACCGTAGGATTCCTCGACTTTGTCATTCCAGCGAGCCCTTTCGATGAATTGATCACAAATCGATTCATGACATCTTGGGTGACCTCCTCTGGATCCCAGGGGCCTATTTTGGCTGGCTCAGGAGACAGACCTGCCGCCATAGCAAAGTAGAATTCCTCTCTCGTCAATGGTCGTACCGCGAAAAGTATCCACTGTAGAGCGAGCAGCAGATCGGCGATCTTGGTCTTATCTCTTCCCAGTATGTTCTTAAAAAGGTCACTAAGCTGCGGAGGTATTTCTTGTAGTCTTGTCTGAGCACGGAAAATGCTGCCCCATCGGAACTCTTCGTTCACGATAGCAATCACAACCACCGCCCACAAGAATACTCCATTGGCCTTTGCTTGGATTTTTTCCCTAATATCATCTGATTGTTTTCCCGTGCCGACTTCGAGGTGGCACCGTATGTACTCGGCAATGTCCTCGTAGTGTCCGTGCTCGCGATCTAAGATCAACTCTCGGCCGTGTTGAACCTTAATTGTTGGGTAGTGGCGACTGGCGAGGCATATATGGAGAGAAGCGTCGGACGGTACGACCTGAGAGCCAAGTCCTTCAAAGAAATCGACCATGGCACGAATTTCTAATTCGTCGCATTCATCGAGTGCATCGACAAAGCATCTCAGACGGCGCGAGCCGAGCTCGCGTGTGGCGGAAAGAAAAAGTCCAGTCAGAGTAGCAAGTGTCCAGGGTTTGATTGGGGCCGCGTCGAGAACGTGTTGTAGATCCGTAGCCTGGCTCAGAAGCTGAAAAAGTAGGGAGCGATACATCCCCAGAGTTGACCTTTCCAAGTCAACGCCTCTAGCGTTGAAAAAGAACGAGACCACAATGTCGCTCTCAGTCTTTTTGCGCTCGGCTACAGCGTAGGCAAACTTCATCAATGTCGATTTGCCGGCTCCAGGGTGGCCCTTGATCCATAGAAAGCCATGATGCTCATCCATGTTGCTTGGGTCAGACCACAGTATATAGTCGGGATGCTGTAGAAGCCATGCACACGTCCCTGGATCCTCGCCGCTGATTGTCGCTCGTCGTGCGTCGTTCTCATCGAAGTCCAACGATTGCAGGAGCTCTTCCCGACGCTTCCTTTGCGTTTGGAGATCATCTTCAAGCATTGCCGATGGCTCGAATGCTTTCAAGCGAGATGCGACCACCGAACCGCTCGGTGCGACGGGTTGTTCTCTGAATAGACTGTTTCGATAGGCAACAGCGATTGCGTCTTTCAAACGGTCAAACGCGTGCTGTCCCTCGCCATATATCGGTAACATGTAGACTCCACATATTCCACTTAAACAATAAGCTCTGTCTTCTTCCTTAGTCGTGGAACGTCGTGCAGCCCAGCCCAACCGCTCTTCAACGCTAAACACAGATAATGGAGTGCCGCGAAGAGCATCTATTGGTATGCAAGTGACTTCGTTAATCTGGTCCTCCAAAGACTTCTTGTTACCAAGATACTCGCCTTCACAAGAATAGAACTCGACCTGTTTCGGGGCAAGAAGTTCCTGGAGTGTCCAGCCGCGCGTAAACCATCTTGAGCCTCGAAAAGCTGACTTCCACGGCTCGTAGCTGCCATCACTGCTGCGCTTGTGGTAGCGGATATCGGCCAGGTAAGCATAGCACTTCTCCGCCGTGGCATACCATCGGAACATTGATGTGATCGCTTCTTGGAGCTCGCTCTGATTCGCTTTATTGATGCAACAGGTATCAATCCAGAAATGATTCAACCCGTCTTTCCTGGCTTGGTTCGCACAGAAGTCAAGTTTCACCCGGCCTGTCTTCTTCTGCCAAATGTCATCCTGCATATCTTGAAAGACAACCTCTTCATCATCGGCGCCCCAGGTGTGGGAGAGAATGGCGTACGGAGGAAAAGGCTCGCGCAGGTCTTTGGTCAAGCTGAGCTTGCCTTTCTCGTTGACATAGACGAGGCGCATATCGGACGTCTGGTTGTGACGATAAAAGTGATTTTAAAGCGAATCTGGACGCAGATGGACACCAACTTCATCCTCCTGGCATGACCGAAGCGTCTGCTCACAATGACGAGTGGAGAGGAGAGGAACCGGCAGTCAGGCTGGAATTTGGCATCGTGAAAGCCCTCGAGAGGAGGCGTGCATTGGCATACAAGCGCGCCTATCAGAGTGCACTCCAAAGTGCCTGCCAAAGAACCTGCCACAGATCCCGCCAAAGATCCGTCCAGGGCTGGATGCTTGCATAGTCACTTGATTTGTCCTCTGTCGTATGGCGCCGACAGCCTCGGGCATCTCACTGTGGCTTCAAAGGCGTGCACATTATCGACCGTGGTCATCGTTGGAGGAAGACATGTTGGAGAAGGCGAGGTTTGGCGCTGACGTTTATCACGGCAACGGCGCTACGTCACCCAGGCATGTGGGAGGCTTCGTCCGTCAGGTCTTATTGCAAACTCACAATGTATGCATGGGGCCTTCGACAGGTATGCAGGGCGAGCATGCAAAATTTCCAATGGAGGACTGCAGGCTCATCCAGAATTGCTCTCGACAGGGCTACCACTGCCATATCGCTTCTTGTACTCGCCAGGCGTCTCGAAACCTGCCCTGGCCTTTCCAGCCCAGAGTCCTTTGCGCTTCGTCTTTGCCCACCATTCAGCTTTGCGATACTTGTCCTCGAACTTGCCGAACTCAGCTCCTGTGTTCGCCTCGTACACTGTTGCCAGTCCTTCTCGGAGCATCTGAAGACCCACATCGCGACGGATGAGGCCCTTCCACACATACACGGTCCCGACAACTCGGCTGTATTGGTCTTGCTTGTAGACATACGCCCTGACCCTCCTTGAACCAACATAGTCGGTCAGCCATTGGTGGGCTTCCTGCGCGAAAGGTTGCTCGGGACGTCCAAAATGTGGGAGTTCTGGCGCATCCACTCCTGCCAGACGCACATGTACTGTCTGGTTCCTCAACGCCTTCTTGTCTGTAGGGACCCGCCTCCATGGCAGCCACCCCCACCCTGCTAGGCGTCCCCCAGGTGTATGGTAGATCCTAAAGTTGTCTCCATCCCCGACGCTCGTGACTCTGCCAAATATGCTTCTATTCCTCAAAAAGCTGGGACGGATATCGGTAGCCTGTGGTATCCGTCGGAGGTACGCACGATAGAACCGAAAGCCTCCCAGTGCAGTAACAGTCAATGCGCCGGCTGCTATCCATGTCTCGGGTTGCGAGAACGCGGTCGTCGAGTGAGACGCGTCCGGTCGGTCTAGGACATCGTCGATAGCTTCAGTGACCTTTGCACTGATCGACGTACCACCCTTGTCGTCAGCCTTCTTCGCGAAAGGCCAGATGTTCAGCCATGGCATGACTTCGTCGGTGGAAGATGTGGGGAGAAATCAAAAATGTTCGTCAACCGAGCTTCAGATCTAAAGACTGCTGGCCGGAGTTCTGCCGGTACGTGAATACTCTTGCTCAGCAGAGGGTCGCCGACCCGAATCAATCAGCCTCTCCCTACTCCTGAACATGATTTGAATGACGAGACATCAGTGCTATCTATTGTTATCATCCGATGTTGCGCTCACCAAACTCTCAAGTTGGCTACCGTTCGAGTGTCGACTAATACGTGACTTGCCACTGTGAGTCACCGTACCGCGTACACTGGACCGTGTTCGGATAACGTCAACTTGAGTACACTTTCTGCCAGTGCACCTCTCATTCAAGTCTCAGACCAAGCCACTCCCTTACGCACTACCAACTCGGACCTGACGACGGAGGAACGCAACTTCGAATACCTCTTCGCGTCTAAACAACCCGCGCTCCGCTGAGTACAAGCTTGACGAGACTTCAAAGCATCGCCTGCCCCTCCGCATCTCAAACGCGCTTCTTCTCCGCCGTGTATCATTCACTTCATGTCCCACCGAAGATCCTAGCTGAAAGTTACCGTCCGCTTGTACAAAAGAAGCTCCTCCTCCATTGCCGCTACGCCCAGTCCTATCACAATTACCACAATGGCTCTTGCCGTTGGATCCAATACCGCACATGCGGATGACATGATGGACATCGACATTGACATGGATCTTGGTGATGGCGCCGTAATCGACGACGATTTCCAGCTCGAAGTATGACCGGACAGGAATACCATTTAACTCTTAACTCACATCCTACAGGAAGGCGAAGAACCCTCATTTGTGCCCAGCGGTCCTGCACCTACCGACACCTCGAATGTCATTCCCGCAATCTATACAGAAGATCCAGCCACCGAGCCACAATGGGAGAAGATTCATATTCGAGGCGTTGACGATATGCATACCAACGACATTCTAGGATTTGTCAACGACAACTTCCCGGAAGCTGATGCGCATGTTCAGTGGATCGATGATACCTCCGCCAACATTGTCTTCAAGACGAAAGAGCTAGCAAGAACGGCTATTCTCAATATCGTATTGCAACCCACGACCACTGAACAAATCAGCGCCGCACCCTTCGAGCTGAGAACCGCAAAGGCTCTTGCGAGCAGACCCAGCAGCATGCTCACGGTCAGAGTTGCTCAAGCCGGAGACCGAAAGAAGAAGAACGCACGTGAAGCTAGTCGCTATTATCTCATGCATCCCGACGAAGATCCTACCGAACGTATGCGACGTGAGTTCGCCAACGGACGCCGACGTCGCGACAATGGAGAATACGAAAGGCGCAGATTCGATGACCGCGAGCTCAGAAGAAGACGACACAATCAGCCAGAAGATACGATGAACGACTTTAACGCGAGCATGTACGACGATGCACCCGAACCAGAACGCAATGGTCGCGGCCGAGATCTCTTTGCTGAAAGGCCTCGCCGCCGCAGTGCCAGTCCTGGAACTCGCAATTCTGATGAGATCAACATTTCCGACTCAGACGAAGATGGCAGGCTGGTGCGCAGAAGGAAGAGCTATCGCGACCGAACCGAGCGTCCACCGCCATATTCCAAACGCGATCCTGCGCCGTTTCCACGCAACAACGAAGGCAAGGAACTGTTTGGTGGCTCTGATCGGACTGAGGGTGGACTGCATTCTGATCGAATAGAAGCACCTACACGCCCTGCCGCATCTGACAACCGTGAAGCGAATGCTGCGGTAGCCAAGCGGATGCGAGATCACCTTATGAGTGCCGCACAAACCAGTCCCAGAGGCGGTCACAGACGCAGCAGAGCAATGGATGCGAAGATTGAGGAGGATCTAGTCGAGCGCTTTGGCCGAAAGTCAGTGTCTATGGACTCTACCAAGTCAGGCGTGGAGCTGTTTCCCAGCAATGGCATCAGCATCAAGGGTTCTGCGAACGGTGGTGGTGGTGAACTGAATATCAAGGGCCGGGCCGATCAAGTGAAGGAGCTCTTCCCGGAGAGGTACAAGAATAACGTTGGGCGGGAGCTATTTGATGAGCCCGTGCGGGAGAAGCGTCCAAGGCGAAGGGCAGGCGACTTGTTTGACTAAGGGTCTTACGCACCAAGTGAGGCTGGTGCGGCCAATTATGGTGAGGCGAACTGCGGCGACGGCAAGGAACTGAAACATGCATATCTCGGAGTTTTGAATCGGAATGGACTACGGACTCAGGATACCCCATACAGTAAAAAGGATCACAGGCTCCAGCGCAGCCATTTGGACCTTCCACCCTTGGTTATGCAGCACCACCGTGGTCGACCTCATGTGAATGGGTGAATGGCCCCCTGGAACAGAAGCATTCCTTCCTACTCTGGCGGGTACTTCTGCCCTTTGTGCCGGGTAGCAATGTGCTTCCGCAGGCCACTTCCTCCCTTGTAGGGTTTCTGAGTACATCCACGGCCCTGCTTCGCCCATTCACATTCATATCGCTTTCCCTGGTGCTCCACCTGCATATGTTGCGAGTGCGCCTGCTTCGTGTTGAAAGACTTCTCACATTCATCGCAAGACCACGATGTGGCAGCTGAGGATCGTACAATCGACGGATCTTCACCTCGCCGCCTAGCCTCAGCTTGGAGACTCATGGTTTCTCGGCCTTTGGCGAGGTTGGCGTAGCCCTGCTGCCGATTGACATCTATACTTTTCTGAATGCCTGGCCTGCCTTGGGCATCGTGCGCCGCTCTTGCACGGGACATGGTCGGATCAGCCGCCAGCTGCGTTGCCCGGCCTCTGTCCAAAGCAGGCCAGCCACGGGTCTGCTGCACAGCATTGCCTGCTTTCTGAAGCGCGAAGCCGGCCGAAGCCGAACCACTAGCCCGCTGGCACAGAAGAATATGCAGTCCTTTGACCAGGCTGACGTGCCATTCTGGGCACAGTGGGAGCAAGAAACTGTTCATGGCAGTTTCTGAGGCAGGTTGGCCGGTCCATCGATGGAAGAGATCCCTTATCATGGATGGAATCGCTTTCCACGGGATCTTCTCACTGCCGTCCTGATGCTCGAAAGCGAGCATCTTGACAAGTATATCGACCTTGTTGTCTCTTGGCCCGCAAGGAAATCCGATATGTTTCTTGATCTTGATGCGACTGTCTTCCATACGAGCAAAGAACGTGGTGTCCAACGGTATTTCGAGGCCCGCAAGCTCGACGGCAAACCGAATACACTCGTCCATCTGCCGGCCGCGACCCACTGAATCAAAGAAAATGGCTTCCGGATGCGGGCACGGGACTGCAAGACGCTGAAACACCGTACCGTTCTTACCCTGGTCGAAGTTGGCCCAAAGCTGAATCTTGGGTTTGTCGATCACTGTCATTGACTTCGGCTTGAACTTGGTCTCGTACCATTTTTGCGCTGGAATACCGAGCAACAAGACGATCTTCGCATTCGCCAACTCCAAAAGCTCGGTGTTGAAATTGTCAGCCAGATCGAGCTCTGCCTGAGGGCGCGCAGACATTGGAACAGGTTGCTGTTCTCTATCTTTTGTCGATTCTCGCCGATGCCATCGCTCGCCCCAGCCTAGTGGCTGTGTGATAGGATTGACGCCAACCTTCAGCATCATGTTCGTGCACGGGTTGGTCGTGTCCGCAGTATGCATGTACTCCAGCTGCTTGGTGTTGAAGGTAGGGTAATGCCATTGCACAAAAAGACGAAGTGGCTCACCAAAGTCTCCGGACGGGCATACAAGATGCTCTCGAGGACGACCAGATAAGGCTACCTCATCCGCCGCAAACGGCTCCCAGATGTCCGCCAACGTCTTACCACCGGACATATCTGGGCGTTTGACATTTAGGTAAGCCTTGACGGCTTTCTGCATCGAAAGATTGAGCTTCCGGCACAGTATTTCGATGCTACGCGCAGGGGAGGACACTGTCGGGTTCTTGACACACACCTGCTCCGCCCCTTTGATGGAGCCAAGCAGATCCGCCCTCAAGCTCTCAAGCTCCGCCTTGTTCAATGCGAGCTCGGGAGCACCGCCATCAGGAATGTCCTCCAGGCCTTCTTCGCAGGCTGCGGCGAGCAGGTTGTCGGTAATGGGAGTTGTGGGCTCAGTGTGAGTACGCCGGATGTTGCTTCTTGAGGCATCGTCCTCACTTCGAGCAAGGCCGGATTGGTAACGACGGTTTGACATCACTAAGGCACGGCGTGGTAGAGAACACGAGAGAAATACTCCAGTCGATGGCTAAGAAATGAACACAAGCATAGGGGCAGGTCCCTATATTTGTAGTTATGATGTGTCCCACGAGCTGCGCCCCAGGGCCCGTGTGACTCTTCATCATGACGAACAACGTGTTGTCAGGTGCAGTAACCTTTCGTTTGCATCGGTCAATCTGCGGCCACAGCACTAACCTGAGTCAACCTTGCACGGTAGCTATTCATCGTTCAATCAAAGACTATACCAGGGTGAAGTTGTTATGACACAAGTCAAGCGAGTGATCACGCGCGAGTGTTTGAGACCTTCACCTACACCATGAGCATCAGAACATGTACTTCTAGAAAGCTGAATTGAAGGCAGAAAGAAGGTGTTGAAGGAAAGCGGCTTCAGTGTTTGAGACGTGTAGAAGCTGACGGCGTGCAGTCATTGAAGGCGTATCTCTGTCACGAGGGGTACCAATAAGCGCGAGATCTGGCTGAATCTCCTCCAAATTACTGATAGACCTCACAACTTCGCCCCCTTCCCCTTCTCAGCCAGCCTCACCACCGCCTCCACCCCGGCTTTAGCCACCTCCTCATCCTGCGCCGGCGTCCCCGTACTGCATCCCACCGCACCCACAACCTCACCATCAATAACGATCGGCACGCCTCCGCCCACGTACGTGAAGCGGCCGTGGTTGGCGCCCGCGGCGGCGAGGCCGTACGCGGCGCCACCCGGAGTGACTTGGGCTTTGTAGGCGGAGGTGGGGACGCGGTGGCCCGCGGCCGTGAAGGCTTTGTTGATGGCGATGTCGATGCTCGTTAGCTTGGCGGCTGGAAGGCGCGTGAAGTGTAGGAGGTACTAGAGTTGAGAGAGAGGGGTGTTAGTTTGAGGAAGGACTGAAGGAGGGGGGTTGGGGCATGGGGGATCTGGGGTGGAGTCTGGGCTCATAGGAATGGACGGGGATGAGGTAGGGGCGTGGGTTGGAAGTACTAGGGAGGTCGACGATGTGGACGGGCGAGCTTTCTGAACTCATGGCGGGCCATATCCCCGAAGGTCCAGCTGTGTGCCTGTGGAGCCCTCCCGTCTATATTGTCGACCCCTGATGAAGGTCGTTCGCACCTCTTAGGTGGGGACAGGGTGTTTTGAGATCAACGCCAGAGGTCAACGAGATTGATGGGAGGCCTCCACAAGCTCACAGAAGAGGCGTGTCGGCAAGATCTGCTATGATCTCGTGGAAGCCTGCTCGTCATCCTTCGTAGACCTTTGGTGAGGGCTGGGCAATCAACGCCCACCATCAAGGTTGGCGCGGCGTGTAGACAATATGACAGATCACTTACCAAAGATGCATCTACAATGGCAATGTTCATCGGCACGCCGATCTCAGCGGACTTCTTGGAGGCCGCCTCGCACGCGACGAGCGCCGCAGCATGTGTCAAGTGGCCTGGCCGGTGGACGGTGGGGGCGACCTCGCCGGGCGTCTCGGGAGGGGTGTCTTCGGCACCCATGTTGTAGAGGGTATAGAACCGGACTAGCGAGCGAAGTGGTCGTAAGTCCGAGTTTGCTTCGCGAAGTTCGTGCTGGAAGAGCTTATGTATGTATAATACCCCGGTGTAGATCTGGGGTCCTGGGGCTTCCCGGATCTATTCGCCGTCGGGTGAAGCAGGAATGAAGAAGCTCTGCCGTCCTCGATTCGCTGGCTTAACGTTCAGGAGGTCGTTCATGCACGCCCCTGGCCTCGAAGGATATGGTGTTTTACTGGGCCGTTCTAGGCGTGATATGTTCTGCTGTGTAGCAGTGCGCCCGAACACGTCCGCGTTTATATTCTAGCAGTAGTCGGATCAGGTCAGGTCACCGTGGTATAACTGCTGCTGCGTTGATGCTGTACTCGAGAGATTCCGGCTTGCCAAACTCGCCCGTGAACCTATCGAATTTGTTTCTAAAGCTCCGAAGCGCGAAGTGAGTAGTTGTAAGACCCCCGCGTGTTGTAGTCAACGATGACGCCCACGGCTGAGAAGGCCCTCGGTAAATCGGCCGTGGGAAATCCGAGCCCGGTAGGTGGGGCTCGCGCTACAGCTGACTTAGGATTGGCATCGACAGCGGATTCTTACCGGCGCGATCTGGGCGCTTGATTGAGCTGATGCGACAAGCTTTATATATTCATATTTCTGATTTCTCGTCAACAACCAGGCCGTAAGTTAACACAAACACTTCCAGTTGGGATCACACCTCTAACATTCAATAGGCGTGGCCCAATGGTAAGGCGCTGTACGTATCAACAATCAACATTACCACCCACAACGTTCTAACAGTCCCAGTGACTACGACTCGAGTCCAATGACTTAGATGGTATCAAGAGATTCCGTAAGTCTTCAGGCAGCTCTTCAAGCTTGAACTCGATCTAACAACAATTCAGAGGTTCGAACCCTGGCGTGGTCGCATTATATCTTTTTGTTTTTTGCCCAGCTTCAGACTTTGAGTCCCGGGGTAGGCTGGTGAGATGGTGGTCAGAATGAAGATTTTTTCGTGCGGGGTAGGGCTTACAAGACAAATTGAGGCATCGGCCGCAGACAGCGAGCGGCTATAACTAACCCTTTTTTTTCAACCCCATGTACAGCCTGACACGCATCTACGCCGCCCGAGATTTGGGCTGTTGACTGCCAGACGACGTCCTCCTGGACGCGGGTTCTGAGTACGGAAAGTGGTTTTGTCTCAAAGACACCCAGATCCTAGCTCATACCAATGACTAGCAGGCAGCAAGCCCGTTGCTCTCTTTGACTCAAGCACCCGGGTCTACAAACAGGATCGAACGATTGACACTTTGACCCTCAATTCAATGCAAGATGTCGATGAATACTTGTCTTTCATGTGGTATCTTGTACCTTACTATCTGGAGCTTGCTAGTGTGCTCACCACGACATTGTCCTTACACTCTCATGGCTGATTGTCTTTTTTGCGCCGTCAACGAGTGACTCGCTTAGTCGAGTTCACTCGTTACCAGATTTTGGCGGCGGAACTTCAATGCCATTATGAGTGGACTTGTAGTGCTTCTTGAGGTTCGCCTTGGTCGAGTAACCTCTCTCTATGCCCATCCGATCGCATCCTCTGCCTTGAAGTGCCCATGCGCAATCGTAACGCCTGTTAGAGTGCGCCATCATACGATGATGGCTCAAGGTACTCTTCGTATTGAACTGCTTTGGCGGACTGCATTGCATGCAAGTAAGAGAATTGACAACCTGCCCGACGCCAGACTCTCCTTCTTGCTGATTCCGAATCTCGACCTGTGCACTCGCTTTTTTAGGACCTCGATAGGAGCCAGACGTACTGGTATACACTCGACCCGTTGCGATTGCAGGCACCAAGTCAAGGAGACCGGAATCATCCGGCCTCACCGCGGCTTTTGTCTCCTTGACCTTTGCTCTGTTCTCAGGTTTTCGTGGATCGAGACCAGCTTGCGTCAACTCGAATAGCTTCGCGCGGGCTTTGGCCAAATTGGGGTAGCCCTGCGCTTTCTGCTTAACGAGTGACTCGTTGACCAGCATTACATGCATGCCTTTGGTAATGCTGACATGTCCCGGCGGACACAACGGGAAGAGGGTTTTCTTCATGACTGGCCGACTAGCGACTTTACCGGTCCATTTAGAGAATAGTTGCAGGATTCCGTGTGGGATTTCATCGAATGGGACCTTATCGTTGCCCTTGCTATGGTTTTCGAATGCGAGCATCGAGTTCAAGACTATTGCTTTGTTGACATTAGGGCCAGACTTGAAGGCAAAGCGTCGTAGCTTCGTACGTCCTACTTCGAGATTATGGAAGTAAGAGGTGTTGAGTGGAATCTTTAAGCCTGAGAGCTCGACAGCCAGTCGAATTGATTCGTCCAATGCTCGACCTCGCCCTTGGTCCCCAGAAAAAACAGCTTCAGGATGGAGACAAGGTACTGCAAGCCTGTTGACAAACTTGCCCGACTTGCCGCTTCGTACATCGACGAAATCTTCCGAGACGATCCAGACTCTGAGCCTTGGATTGCGCGATAGAACAGCTTCAACGGGCTTGAACTCTGCGAGAAATCAGTTCGAGACAGGCTCACCTAGTAATAAGATCACTTTCGGATTGGCCAGTTGTAGAATCTCCCGGTTGAAGGCGTCTAAATCTCGCGCTCAACTGCCGGGCGTTTTGCCATGGGTACGCGGTCACGCAGTCCAGACTCGGTGATGGTGTTCTCACGACGAAACCAATGTTCACCCCAGCCGATTGGGTAGAGCAGAGGGTTTAAGCCTGCTTCGAGCAACATGTTGGTGCAGGCATTTGAGGTATCCGCACTATGTGCGAAGTCTGGGCGCCTGCAGTTATTGGTAGCATAATGCCACTGAACGTAGAGTCTCACAGGCTTCTCGAGCTCACCTGAGGGAGCGACTAAGCCTTCTGGAGGGCGACCGCTGGTTTTCGTCTCCAGCGCCACGAAGTCAGACCAGAGATCGACGAACTTGGGAGCTACCGGTCGGTCAATATGAGGATTTCTCAGATAAGAATCAAGAGCTCTTTGCCATAAAGGGTCTCGCAGCTTTCCGCATAGCATCTTCTGTGCTCGACTTGGGTCTGACAATGTAGAGTTATGCACCTCGACATGTTGGGCGTCGCATCGAATGTCGAGGAGATCGTCTTTGATGGTATCGAGTTCGGCCTTACTGAGGACAACACTGTGTCCCAGGGGATCTTTCAGGTCAGGCAGATGACGCAGAAGACTGCTTGCCTGAACATTGACTAGTAGGCTTGCCGACAATGTGTTACTTGTTTCGAAGGTTCTAGTTCGTCTGGTTTTGCGAGCTCGTGGCACCAAGTCATCGGATCTGGTGAGAGAAGAGTGAAAGCGGCGCTTCTGGCTCGGCATGTTGGCTCAACGGAGTCGACTAAAAGTCGTCACCGTCAAAAAGTCGGGTCAAAGATCAGAGGCTGATGAGACCTCTGAGGTCTGGATAAACTTTTTCGTAAACTAGCCTTACTGGCATTGAAGTGATGTTTAGGTCGTTGGAGGTGAGGCAAAAGTGATCAGAGCTCTTTCCTATCTCGGCAATCCATTTCCTGCCAGAGGAAAAGGACTACCGCATAAGGACAGCTTATGGCCTCTCTTACGCACCACATAGCGCAGGCGGCATAATGCATTGAATCGGTTCGGGCCCACTTCCGCCGGAAGCATTGCATGAGTTGCCTAAGAAATGAGCCAGCCATGCCCGAAAAACCTGGTGGCAATACTGCCTGCTCTGCTACCGCGCGAGCAGAGTCCTCGAATGTGCAATCTACTGCATCCACACCACATCTCGCAATAACTGTATGGCGATGAGTATTGATTTCGAACCCTGGCGTGGTCGCATTTCTTTTTTGTTGTTTGAAAGCCGCCTAGGGCTTCCAACGTGGTGGTCTTGTGTGAGACGTGAATTTTCTTTTTGCTAGGGGGGTGGGTGGAGCCCGATACGGGTATCTGTTCGGTTCTACGACCACATGAAACACTTCAGCAGCACCCGGATATGTTTCAATTTGCTTCTATATATCCGCGGTGAGGCATTTGTTGTAAATCTGCAGTCAGTAGTGTCTATATGGCGAGTCTAAGGGCTGGCAGCCTCGCCGCCTTTTTTAGGCAACATTTCGGTAACCACTATGCAGTGAATGCATTGAACCTCACTTCCACCGGAAGCATTGCATGAATGGCCAATCAACGGCCCTTCTATACTCGGTACAACTTGTGACAATACTGCATGATCTACTAGCAACTAAAATCCTCGAACGCGTGTTTTCAGTGCATCCGTACCACCTCTCGCAAGAACTCTGTACGGCGGTGATTGCTGAAGTCAAAGCTCCAGAGAGCCTGAAGCTGAGCCAAGTCATATTTGCAATATAACTTGAGTCCAACAACGGCTAGATCAGATATCTCAGCACTTCCGCGCATCACCAGCGACTGCCATCCAAGAGGCAGCGCCGAAAGTTGCTGGAGCCCTCCGCATCATCATAGAACTGTAAGGACAGAAAATGACAGACAGATCACAGCGCCCTCCCGGATAGCATATCATGGAAAGGTTAGAGCGCCCTTCCCATAAGCACATAAGCGACCTGGACGAAAGAGAAGGGCGCCCTCCCCGTGAGTATAGGATAACATCAACGAAAGACGACAGCGCCCTTCCCGTCAGTATAGAATAACTTCAACGAAAGACGACTGGGCCTTCCCATGACTAGCATGATGACATTAGTGACAAGGTTACAAAGCCCTCGCCTTTCATGGAAGTCCCGAATCTTACAGAGACTTTACACGAGCATTGCTTGGACTGACGTTCAGTCCGGTCTTGCACACTAGCAAATGCTGGCTGTGCACAAAACTACGCGAAGGTCTGTATCATCTGAATGCTGCTGTCCGCGAAACGGGACGCGATCGTATTGTGGTGGCGCTGATAGCTCACCCACGGGGGTATCTCATAAAGTACAACTGTTGACGAGACCATTGTCGTCTTTCTGACCGCTGCTGATTGCAGGCATATTCGTGGCATCGCCGTCATGCGGTCCCCACTGAATCGATATCGCTTTTCCAAGTTCGCGCCACTCTGAACTCCCGATCTTTCAAGAACCCTTTGTCTCGAGACCTATTCGTAAGTCGTCCTCAAGCTTCCAACTCCGCAAAATCCCTTCCTCAAGAATGCTGACTCCATTGGGTATTCCACCTAACACCGGTGGCAGCTCTGCTTCGTACTCGTACATTGCTCGTCGTACCAAGCATCGCCTGGCTGAATGCGTATCCTAGACCATCACGAGCACCCTAACTTGGCTATCCATCCATTCCGTGTTCTCGCAACTGAGTAAAGCAACCATCCAGTCGGTATCTCCGTTTACTGGGACCAGTCCTTCGGGCAACAAGACCTTGAACTCGCACTTTTCCAGGCGCACGTTGGCGAGGTCTGGTTGCTTTTCGGCGGTCTCTGGTTCTTCAAACTTCCTCTTGATACAATCATGCAAAGCGGCCAATGTAGTGCATGCATTAGGATCAACAGTGAAGCGAGGAATCACTCGTGTGAGAAATCCAGCAGAGTCATGGCGCATGATGTTGATCATGATCTGGACCGGCGGCGGGAGTTCACCAAGGTCTTCAAGACCAACTGTTGCAGTCGTATCGCCCGTGGTAGCCGTGAGACTTGGTATGTAACCCGTTGAGGTGATAGCAGGGTCGATGGGTGGGGCAGTAATGATCGATGAGAATGGTGGGAGCTGACCTAGCTGTTCGACAGTCTGACGTTGTTGCTCGGGACTTTGGCCCTGCTGCTCGGTCCTCTGAACTCTCTCACTGCGAGACTCGTGCACGTAAAGGCGCTGCTTTTCGTTGTTGACGAATCTTCGCATGAATGGCCTCATGTGCTGCATGATTTTGTGGGCGTCTTCGGGCCAGAATCGAGTGCGTACTGGCGATCCTGGAGGACCGCGAGCAGCTGCACGGCTGAAGTATTTGTCGCCAGCGCCACCCGTCAGGAAGGTCTCAATACACCCCCACAGTCTTTCTCTTGCAGCCGCAGACTCACCACCTGCTCGCCTATCGCCAATGATGTTGCGACGTTCTGGATGGGTAGGGTCGAACATGAAGGCCTTACCCTCATCCTGCAAGGCTAGGAAGTGCTCCGGCGCGAGCTCAAGGTCCCTCATCATCTCAGCATTGGTTGGACGTGCGGACTTCTTCTTGGGCTTTTGGCCCGGAGTGCGAACAGGAGCCGGAGAACCGGGGGAGGTCTGGGGAGAGAAGCCTCCCTCTGCCATCGGAGCATCGACCTGGATATTGTCGAGGCGGTTGGCACGTTGGCGATCGTCTTGCGCAACTTGCGCCGCGGCTTGTACGAGACCAGTGAGGTGGGCTTGTTGATTGGAGGGGTCTGCCATGATGTGGGAGCTGTTTGATGGTCAGTCAGCATGACGAAAGCCAGCGCCGAAGCGCGAGCTGGGGCTTGACAACCCCTCGAGGGGTCACAGGAAGGTGGTCAGTACTCACGGTGCTGGCTTGATATTGACTGGAGACGTGAGGTGCAAACATGCCAAGCATGGCTGAAGTTTGAATGAAACCGCGGTGGAGATAAGATAATTAAATTCCGTGCCAAGACATGCACTTCATGCCAAGAAATCTTTGCTGACTTCACTTGTAGCTGGCACTACTCCTCATTGACTTGCTTCCAGCATTCCTTCTCTGCTCTTCACAATGTTGTGATAATGCACTGCTTCATCAAGTCACCCACGTGTGTATCACTTGCATAAGTCACTAATCATGTTTTCCGCGACAAAACTCCAAGTGGCAACATATCTCCTAGGAGTTTGTCCCTTCTCAATTGCATTCCTGGTCTTCCTGAACTCATCTGTCTCATTCGTCATAACCGACCTGATCGGACAAGACAAAGGCGTCGGAAATGCTGTTGGCAACTTAGGATTTGCTGATGAGCTTCTTGCTCTTGTCGCTTGCCCGCTGTGGGGCCTCCTCTCCGACCGGATCGGAGTTCGCTATGTCTGCGTAATTGGCTACGCGATCATTGCCCTCGCACTTGCTTTATTTGTGCAAGCACTCAATGTCTACCCTCAACTACTCTTCGGCCGCCTTCTCTTCAGCTTAGGTGGCGCGGCGGCCTCGACCATGGTGACAGCTGTCTTACCCGCAGTATCGTCTCACGAAAAGGCGCATGTAGGACGAGGCACCAACAACGATCGCAATCATGCCACTTCTCCATCAATCACCTCCGACCTGACAATCACGCCTGCTCGATTTCGTACCAATACCTCCAGCACAACAAAGACACGGACAACCAGCCGGTCAGCGTATGCCTCTACTTCTCGCGTAGCCGGGTTCGTTGGCATGTTCACCGGTTGTGGAGCTCTCATAGCCTTGCTTCTGTTCCTTCCACTTCCTGCCCGGTTCCAACACGCTGGTATTGATCCCGCCAGGGCGCTCAAACACGCATTCTACATTGTGGCCATTGTCGCCTTGATTCTGGCTGTGTGGTGTTTCATTGGCCTGCGCAATCTCGCATATGAGCAGTCCGCCTCCACTACCAAGAAGGCTCCTTCCACCTATCCAGAACAACTACGACAGCTAGCGACTAACCTCAAAGTTGCCCTACGCGCCGGCTTTCGTCGAAAGGACATCGCTCTAGGCTACCTTGGAGGCTTCGTTGCGCGAGCATCGTCTGTAGGCATCAGTCTATTCATTCCATTACTTGTTAACGCCCTATTCCTCGATTCAGACCTGTGTCAGTCGGAAAGCACCTTGGCTGAGACTCCAGGTGGATTGCCGGATCTTAAGCGGAAATGTCCTCGCGCATACGTGGTCGCGGCCAGCATGACTGGCGTGTGCGAGACGGTAGCATTAATCGCGGCACCAGCTTTTGGGTATCTGAGCACGAGAACAAGACGCAGGGGTCTGCCGCTGATGGTCGCAGCAGCGACGGGCGTCGTTGGCTACCCGCTCTTCGCTATGCAGTTCGACCCTGACGACACTAAAAAGGGTGCGCGAGTCGCCGCTTTCATCGGAGTCTGCTTAATTGGCATAAGTCAGATTGGAGCAATTGTCTGTAGCCTGGGTGTATTGAGCGCTGGTGTGCTCAGAGAGGCGTCAGAAGCAAGACATGCGAGCGCTGCAGACGGGCATAATGCAGGAACACATGGGCCATCAGACCCCAGCGAAGGCACATATGGAGAACGTGATGCCTTGCTAGGGCACGTCGACCCGGAAGCCACAGAGAGCGCCCACATACGAAAGCCTAGTGCGGAGCTGTCTCTGGCGCAGCTCAAGGGTTCAGTGGCTGGCATTTACAGCTTCTATGGAGGTGCAGCAATTCTGGTTCTCACCAAAGTGGGTGGCCTGCTGTTCGATAAAGTGGACGTTGGAAGCCCGTTCTACATCATGGCCGCATTCAACGGCGTGCTTCTCGTTGCCTGCGTTGGTATCGGAATGGCAAAGGAAGAAGAGTAGGCGTGGGACTTCAGCTTGCATGAAGCCTTGTTTGACGCCTAGTCTCCTGTCAAAGACTGCCGCAGTCCCCGCAATTACGATATTTCTGCCATTAAGTGAGGTCCGAGGTACGATTACCGATGGTGATCGATCAACCACTGCTGTGTCAACGGCCCACCCTGCACCGTCAAGCCTGAATCCAGATCAAGCTTCGTTTGGACGACACTGGAACCGTCGTGACAACCAACAAAGCCTCCAGTATCGGTCGGCCCTTTCGCCAATATCGGACCCAATCACCGCCACATCGTTCACTCACCAACGAGTCTGGGAGCAGCTCGATAGAACAGTCCGCACCCCGCTCGATCTTGGACTGGGTTGCTGAACCTACATGCGTGGGTCTACCACCACTTGGTTTCTGTGAGGCCCTCTGCCTGAAAAGCTCTGGTGGGTAGTGGTCCAGTTTGGGAGAGCGGAAGACTGGGTTTCAGGAAGGCCTCAACTGAGAGGGACTGGCATAGCGGAGAATTAAACACACACTGCGGAGAGAGAGAGAGAGAGAGAGAGAGAGAGAGAGATGGAGAGATGACATTACAGGGTTCATGCGGTGATGTCGTTGACGGCGAGGATCCCATGTCCAGGTTTACGGCGTACAGTAGGTCGGTAACTCAGTTCAGCAACAAGATACCTGCTACGATGTGAATGCACAGATAGCATAGTATGTCAAGAGTAGCGCTCAGGCTCTGATGAAGGGAAATCTTCTGTCCTGACTCACACCGGAGTTCAGGAGGGTTCAGACGATCTATTTTCATTTCTAGGCTATGTATCCATGCCGCAGCAGGCCGAAAGACGCCATGTCCCAGCGCCCCGCCAGCATTGTGCAAGACTCGCTCTGAGATTCGAGTATTGGGGGGCCGTGTTTGGTCGCAAGTTCAAAGCTGCTCATCGAATATCCACGAGCTCATTCAACAAGTGATTGCAAATCTAAGCCAGGATAGTCCGGTCAACCTGCATCATCTCCACGCGTAGGCAGGCTGAACAGGCTGGCCGGTCGATCGTAAGCTTTGCACAACGGCTGTTTTCGCTCCGCCTCTCTCTTCTGCTTCTCCCAGTCTATGTCACCTATCGGGTAGCCACGTTCGAACACCGTTGGGAACGGATGCTGAAGACAGCTGCTCTACAGCTTCTGGTGATTGGAAGCGGTGTTCCAGCTGTAGCCGGCGGCATCGGAGAACTTGTAGCCGTAGGAGGCGGTGAAGTCGTCGAGGACAGCGGGGCCACGCGAACCTATACTTATCAGTCAAGTTGTATGGAGGTTATGACTTGCTTACCGTAGGGGTACTCCATAGGAGCGATCTCCTTCTTTTGGTCGAGATAGTGGAGGAGAGGAGTGAAGATACGCCACGAAGCATCGAGCTCGTCGTCACGGACGAAGTTGGAGTGGTCGCCCTTCATAGCATCGAGAATGAGCGACTCGTAAGCTTCAGGGATCTTGAGGTCGGAGAAGCGGCGGCGGTAGGTGAGGTCGAGCTCGGTAACAACGGTCTGCATGCTGAGGCCAGGCAGCTTGGAGTTCATCTTGAGGTAGACGGATTCGTTGGGCTGAATGCGAATGACAAGCTCGTTGCGGGGAATGTCCTTGAAGATACCCGAGGTGACATCCTTGAACTGGATGCGAATTTCGGTCTTCTGCTCGTTGAGAGCTTTGCCGGCCTTCAGGATGAAAGGAACACCGTCCCAGCGCTCATTCTTGATGTAGGCGACCATAGCGCAGAAGGTAGGGCAGCGAGAATCCTTGGGCACAGTATCGTCCTCCTTGTAGGCGGGCTTGGTGCCATCAAGAGATTTGCCATACTGTCCAATGATGACGTTCTTAGGCTCAATGGCTGGCATGCCACGGAGAACACGGACCTTCTCATCGCGGATATCCTCAGAAGAGAACGAAATGGGTCGTTCCATGGCGAGGAGGGTCAGAATCTGAAGCAGGTGGTTCTGCATCACGTCGCGGATGATGCCGAACTCGTCGAAATAACCGCCGCGACCCTCAGTACCGAATGGCTCCTTGAAGGTGATCTGAACGGAATCGATGTGTCTCCGACTCCAGTTGGCGCCTAGGAATTCGTTGCCGAATCGAATGATAAGCAGGTTCTTGACCATTTCCTTGCCCAAGTAGTGGTCGATACGGAAGATCTCCTCCTCTGTGACATATTAGCTAGATCGGCCACAAGATTTATTGAGACTCACCTTTCCAGTCTGGCTCAAGGGCACTCTGCAGCTCGCGAGAGGAACCAAGATCTTTGCCGAAAGGCTTCTCAATGATGATACGGTTGATGCCGTTCTTCGCATAGCAGTTGCGCTTGAGGTGCTGAGAGACTGTGATGAAGACCGAGGGAGGCAGGGCCATGTAGAAGACACGGTTGCCTTCCTTGCGATCCTTCTCAATGTCGTTGATGTGCTTGTCTAACTCTTGGAATGGGCCGTCCTGATCATACTGGCCAGCTATGTAGGTGCAGATAGAGCAGAACTGGTCGAGTTGCTCCTCGACTTCCTTGGTAGGGGTCTTGATGTATGAGCGAACTCTTTTGAGGTACTCGGGGTGGTCCATCTTGGTACGAGCATATCCGACGATTTTGATGTCTTTGGGAAGGAACTTGTTGCGGTACTGCAGTGCGGTCAGTGTGTTGTTGTGCAATAGCCGATAACTTCTTACCAAGCCGAAAAGTGCTGGGAAGGTCTTCTTCTTCGCCAGATCACCAGAGGCACCTAGGACAACAATGACAGTGTTCTCCTTCAACTCAATTGTGCTGCTGCCGTTAGCCGATGATGCAATGACTATGCAATGACTGCGCAATAAGTTGTGGGTTCACGTACCCAGCCGTCTGCGGCTCATCTGGCTGGAGGATGGTATCCGACATGATTGCAGCGCCGATCTAGGATCGAGCTTACTATGCGGTACGTTTAGTGAGAACGAGGATCGAAGTTGGGAAGGTTGAAGAGTGTTTGCTGGGATATGGAAGAAATGTCGGGCAGTGGTGCGGGTGGATGGTGGGGGAGGCGGGACTAATTCGAGCGGCCGCGGAGCTTCAGAAATTTGGCTGAGGCACCTCAGTTTAGGCACAGGTACAGTGACTACAGAACGAAGTGTGTGCACAGTGCAATAGGCCACAGAGATACTGATTAATGTGTGTGATTAGATAAAAACTGTTTGACACCGCTTGGTTGTTCATCAATAAGCCGCGGCGGGCGGAGTGTTATTTCCATGAGGCGATTATATCATGGCGGATATTCCGTGCGTGTAAAGGCCTATCATTCAGCACACACTAGCACCGGCGGAAGCATCGGCTGAGTAGCTCGGAGTCGTTTCGCTGGGCCCCCTGAGTGGAAAGGCAGCTCGGGGTGCAATCCGCTGTCGCAGTCCCCTGGAGCTCTAACCCCTCCACAGTCCCACCCACGCTCGGTATGCTCTGTCAGATCGCGAAGGGTTATGTAATCCCACCTTTTTGCATCCAATTTCTGCAAACGCTTGAGGGCCTTTTATCAGCGCTCAATCTGCGCAGTGTAGACGTTTGCCTAGTTGAGCAGGTTGGCTGCTTGAGCAAGGCAGGGTCCGGGTCAGAGTAGGTGCTGAGATAGACGAAACGGTTAAGATGCGCTATCGGCCCCTGGAGACGGCCATCAAGAAAATTGTGGAACAAATACTGTACCGTAGAAGCCTTCTTCGAAAGTCGAGTATTTAGGCTGAGACGCGCAATGGTTTTCCGCCTTCAAGTTGAGTTCATTTGCCGGTGGGATCGTTCTGGCCTCGGCAAGATTTAGCGGCCGGCCTCTGTTTAGAGAGGTATTCTAGGTACGGAGTACGGGTATGCGATCCCGACATAGGAGCAGACCCAACCTGCTTATTGATGCGCCTTCGGGAGTAGTAGAGTGTACGCCAGCTGGTCGCGTAGTGCTGCGAGCACATACCTTTGTCCGCCTGTGCAAGAAAAATGCAAGTCTTAGTGATCAGGACGGGCTTAGTGCTTCACCCATTGGTCTCGCTCTGGTCCTGTTATGTCTTCCGCGACCTCAGACTTCTCGCCCATAAGTAGCTGAGGGCAGCCAAGGATCCATATAGCGAAGTTGCACGAGAGGAGCGGTTTGTACGCTGCTGCTCACAGAACTCCGCGACCACTCGCAGTCGACCGCCCGAAAGCGGAAGGTCTGGCGAGATCCACTCTGATCTTGGCGAAAATTAACACCCACAATCATCAAAGTCCTTGGTAGTCCGCCGCCGCACACGAGACTTCACACCTTCAACATCGCCGCCGCCGACTCTCGTGGGAATATTTGACAAGATGTCTTCATCCGGTCAGCGCCGTACGTCTATACTCGAATAACTCCTCCCCGGAACAAGAATACTGACAACCCGCGCAGTCTACGTCAAGGGCAAGCACTTGTCATACCAGCGAGGCAAGCGTAACACCAACCCCAACACCTCCTTGGTCAAGATCGAGGGTGTCGAGGACCCCCAATCCGCTCAGTACGATCGAAGCTACTCTGTCGAAGTAACAATGGACTAACTGCGCATAGATTCTACCTCGGAAAGAGAGTCGCATACGTCTACAGAGCATCCAAGGAGCGACAAGGATCTAAGATCAGAGTCATTTGGGGCAAAGTTACTCGACCACACGGCAACTCTGGCGTCGTCAGAGCCAAGTTCAACCACAACCTTCCTCCTCAGTCCTTCGGCGCGAGCGTTAGAGTCATGCTGTACCCCAGCTCGATATGATTAAAGAATTAGACGGGGGTGTTGTGTGCCAGATGGGAGGAAGATGACGATGCCGGTGGGTGGGGAGCGGGTAGTCGTCGTATGTTGGGCGTGTCGAGGCAGTCGGGTGTTTCAATGACTACGGCACGGGATTCCCCCAGCGAGAACCTTTTGCATGCATCCATGACAATGGCAAGAAAATCAAAAGATTTCAACAAACCGGCTTTTTGAAAACGGTGGCTTTCCGGGCCGATGGCAATTGATCTCCATTCGCGCGTCCAACGCCTGTTGGTGGTGTGCGCAGGCATGGCAGCCACGACCATCGACTCTTCCCAACAAAGTTGGAGGGTTACTGCGATTCCCTTTTTTTAAAAAGAAAAAAACCCCTTCTCTCTTCTGTGTTGCTCCGCCTCGCATGCTGACATGACTCCAATATCGACGATGCAGGCTCCCCCGCTCCTGGTTGCAAGGACCCTCAGACGTGCCCAATCTGTGTTGGGCGAGGCCGCGGTCATCGACATCGAAGCGGGTGAACAAATCGTGACCCGCACTGTAACTGACCAGCCGCACGCAAATGACAAATGCCCGGTGATGTCTTCGATGCTTCAACACTGTCGCCGGGGAGTCATCGCCAAGATACAGGATGAGAGCAATGAGTGACCTGCGGCTGAAGAGTGATACGTTCTGCTAGATGTCTTCGAGGAGTCGCAGATATTCTTCCGTCCTTCTCTTTCTCCAAAGGGGCTGCGACTGCAGTCAATGGTGTACAAAGGTTTGGGCAGATGTCCGAAAGCTACCGAACTGACTATCAGGGTATGGTGTGCGGCATTGTGATGGCAAGCTAGCGTGTCAGGTAACGCTTTTGTGGGTGAGAAGGGCTATGGGAAGCTGAGATCGACAACCCCCAGGTACATACTGTAGGTCACAAAAGATGGAGTCGACAATCCTCTAGTAGAGAAAGTCTTCTTCTGTTTGCTCTAGTCAGCCTCTATCATAGTCTGTCATCGGCCCTTCCACGCTTCTTCCACCATGTCCTTCACCTTCTTCATATGCCAGCCTTCTACCAGCCCCTCAGTCTACACCCGACCTTCCTGCGGCAACCCCATCAAGCCCTCACAAGCCGTCAGCCCAAACATCGCGAACCATTCCCCATACGTGGTCTCCTCCTGGCCTTGAAACCTCGTCACCTGGCCTTTCCGCAACCTGTCCCCATCATCATAAACCACAGTTTCAAAGCTCCGACCCCTCGCCCCCTCCACCCAAGCCACGACCTCATTGAATGTCACATCATCCCCAACCAGCAACACCTCCTTCCCCGCCCATTCCTCCGTATCAGGATGCTCTACCAACCACGCCACAAACCTCGTCAGGTCCGCCGTGTAGGTCATGCTGACACGCTCGCCGCCCGTGCCAGGGACCGCGGCAACCATGCGCCGCGCGTCCACCGCCCACGGAAAGGGGCTCAGATGCGAGGCCACATGCGGCATGCCGAAGTAATCCATGAACCAGCCGGTCCGGACACGCGTGTAGCTGAGACTTCCGGTGGCGGCGAGGACGGCGGCGTTGTCGGCACAGTGCTGCCACATGGGCGCGAGCGAGAGCAGCGCGGGGGACACGGGGAAGCTGTACTCGGAGGGTATGAAGTGTGTGACGCTGGGGGATTGTGAGGCGGCGAGGATGAGGGTCTGTTGGGCGGCGGAGGTTTGGGGGGATTCGATGGTGATGGTGCTGATTACGGTGGTGATGGCGTGCGTGGTCAGGAAGGCGGTTAGGGTGGGCAGGGAGGTGTAGGAGGTCTGGTGGTATGTGAGGTGTGTGGTGTTGGGCTGGGAGGGGGTGCTTCTTGTTAGGATGTAGATGCGGCGCTGGGAGGGGGAGGAAGAGAGGGCCTCGAGGAATGTCTTTCCTAGAGAGCCGGTGCCCCCAGCGAGGCAGATAATGGCCATTGAAGGCCTCTCCGAGAGTTGAGGATGAAAAGGTGAAGAGTTGGACCAGATGGGGTGGTAAACATCACTGCAGCAGACAGCAGACAACTAGATAGAATATCATCAGATCAGCAGCAAAAGGCATGCAGAATGTTCTCTAGTGGACGCAAGCTGCCAACCTACGAAACAAACGTCCGAGAACCACGTCGAACCCATCACGAATACATCGCTTGAGCACGCCAGTCAAGGTAAGCGCTGGAGCCAATGTCTCTCGACCTCATCGACGCCTATCGTGTAGATATTGACATTCCTCAGCCAAGCACTTGACAGCCGTTGAGCCACACCTCGGCGTGTCCACCGAGCCAAGTACTTGGTAGCAGTCACCTCAAGCAAGCCCCGATGGATAGAGTGATGACAGCATTCCGCCCCGAGCAGGTGAGCGTCATGACTGACCAAGCGACCGTCGGCAGCGGGCTGCCCGGTATCTTTAAAACATGGCTCCGCCCCTCCCGGGATACTCAACATCCCCGCCACACTCTTCCCACCATGCTTGGGAAGCCGCTAACGTCAGCTTCAGGTCCTTGCAACAAAGCAATGAGAAAGCAGGACGCCCAAAAATCATGGATGGATTTCTCCTGCTGCAGCGCACAGGCCACTTTACCTTCGCTAATCGCCCAAGCAGCACAGGCGACACTTCTGGGCTGACGTACCGCCTAGACCGTCCTTCCTCCAAGGCACCGCAACACCGCGGCGACATGGGGGACGCCTCGTTTCGCGGCCGCGCTTGCAGCCTGGCTCGTCTGGGCTCGATCGACCCTTGGTCAATTTAAAGTTAGCTTGAGCGAGGGCGCGAGCAATGTTTTTTATGACGGCAGCGGGACCGAGGGCAATTGATAACAATTCCAATCTTGCGTGAGATTTTGCGGCCTGAACACTGATATTTCTGCCCCCGTCTGATCTAATCTGTGAGATCTGGGAACACTAACTTGGGACGTCGCGTGCTTTGCTTGATCTAGCTTCTCACGCTGCATCAAACCTGAAAACTTGATCCAGACGAAGAAGGGGTCAGTTCGAGAAGAGACGCGGTTTTTCCACACGTCACGATGCCGACCACGGTGGAGGGATCCTTCAAGACCGCCGATGGTGTGGACTTATACACCAAGACGTGGAAGGTACCGGCCCAACCCCCTCCTCCAACGCCCTCTGAGACAAACTGCTGACAATCTGGACAGCCTGATGGTGCCCCCGTCGGTGTGATCATCTTCATACACGGCTTTAGGTAAGTCATCACACGATCACATGTCAATATGGCCCGCACCAACCCCCAGAATGCGGCCGATACAATTCCAACCCGCCGTCAAAAGACTCCCTAACATCTTTTGGCAGCGACCACTGCAACACCTACGACACCCTCTTCAAGACCCTCTCCGCACCACCCTACTCGCTGCAAGTCAATGCATTCGACCAACGCGGCTGGGGCCGCTCCGTCCGCCAACCCTCCCAGCGCGGTGCCACAGGGCCGACCAGCGCCGTCCTTGCCGATCTACACGCCTTTGTCCTCCATACCATCTCCCAACTCCCGTCACCACCCCCACCGCTCTTCATGATGGGCGCCTCCATGGGCGGCGCCATCGCCCTCCACTACACGCTCTACACCCTCCGCAGCACCACGATCCGCAACCGCCCGCAACTCGCCGGTCTCATCCTCTCCGCCCCCTTCGTCGCCCTGGACCACCGCTCCGCCCCCTCCTGGGTAACCGTCAAAGCCGGCAAACTCGCCGCCAAGGCGTTCCCCAACCAGCAGCGCGTCAACAAGCTGGAAGCCAAGTACATGTGCCGCGACCCGCAGGTCTGCTCCGACTGGGTCGCCGACCCCCTCTGCCACGACACCGGCACCCTCGGCGGCCTAAGCGGCATGCTCCAGCGCGCCGCCGACCTCGTCTCCCTCAGCCAGGGCGCCTACGTGCGCAGCCTGACCAACGAGCTCCCCTGCCCCATCTGGGTCGCGCACGGCGAAGCCGACCGCGTCACGAGCTGCAAGGCCACGCAGCGCCTGTACGACGTGCTCAGCGCCCCCGAGGGGGATCGCACCATGCGCGCCTTCCCCGGGGCGTATCACATGCTGCATAAGGAGCCCGATGGGACAGGTCAGGACTTCACGCGCGAGGTCGCAGAGTGGTGTGTCCGCAGGTGTCGCGGTGAGAGGGGCGCGTTGCCGCCTGAGGCCAGGAAGAGTATGCATGTCTCGAGGAGTCGTGACGATGCGTTGCGGAAGAGTGTTGATGCGAATCGCGTGGTGGGTGCGAGTACGAGTGGCAATGGGAATGGGAATGGGCATGTGAAGAAGCAGAGTAATGGTGGCACGAAGCTGTAAAATGAAAACTGCTTGTAATGAGGAGGACCGGGGGGAAGAGGGGCACCAACGCAGTCGTTGTTGTAGAGGGAAGACAAGAGTGGTAATGTTACAGTCTTGCAGATAGCTGCGGTTTGCCGCTACTACGATCTTGTTCGTAAGCCTAATTAATGCAAATCGAGCGAGTTATATATACACTACACGCCCCTACCTTCTATCAGTGGCCGGACTGTTTGCCAAGGATGTCGAATATATTCGCAAACACGGCGAATGTTGTTCGTACCCACAACCTCACTTTGAACGGCTGTGCTGTACTGTGCTATCCCATCTCTCGTGTAAGAAAGCACACGTCGACCTTTACGAAACTGCATAGTTTCTGGCAGTGTCGACAGTACAGTTACAAAGCAGGAACAAGCAAGCTCGCCAATTCGTTCCTGTTGGTCAAACACATCGGCTTGGGGGTATTCACTCATCTACCATCTACCTACTTATAGGTACCTCACCCCATCGTGGTGCAGCGCGTTGAGACGTCTCCGAAGCACCAGGGGCTGCCACACATGCTTCGTTAGCCATACGGAAAAACGGACAGACCGGAATGCACTGTCCCAGTACAATCAGGCTCGCCCATGTGATATCTGACCGTCAAGGGCCGACGAGGCCTCTTAGTCGCGTGAATCAACCGCGCACGTTTTCTGACGTTGGCCCCCCAGACGGCCCGCCGGCTCACGGGGGTAGCTGAATTCTTCATCCAGCAGTCCGCGTTCATGTCGAGCAACAGCGTCGTTGCCATGAAACCTATCCCGCCCCCTCCTCACCCCATCGCCTTCTCCTCGGCCTTCACCTCGTCCGAGACTTTGAGTTGCGCTACTCCTTCGGTAATCCTCAGCTCGTCCAGTAGGCGTTTGCACTCTTTGCCCACATTCTCGAACTTGACGAGGACGCCCTCCGTCACCAGCTCGCCACCGGCCTCCCGCTCCGCGTCGTCCTTGATACCCAGCCGCTTGATCCTACACTGCCCATTCTTCATCTCCTCATCGCCCAGGATCACGCCGAAAGGTGCGCCTGCCGTCTCCGCGCCCTTGAACTGAGTCTGAGGCTTGGGCTTCTTCTTGTACGCAAACTCGACTTTTAGACCTTCCTGCAGCAGGCTCTTACTGACCTTGATGCGCTCTGCCGTCATGTCGCCGCCGAAGCTCATCACGTACACGTCTGGACTGTGGCTCGTGATGTAGTCAAACTTTTCGCCCTTGGCTAGCCGGGCCTTGGTGATGGAGTAGATGCGGTCGACGCCGAAACTCACGCCTACGCAAGGCATGTCGGCGTTGGGCCGGAAGCGCTCGACGAGGTGGTCATAGCGGCCGCCGGCAGCGACGGAGCCAATGCCTACGGACGGATCGTTGCTGCGGTCCTCGTCCTCGGCGAGCTTCTTCTTCTCTTTCTTGCCCTGCTCCTGGGCGGCTGCGGTAGTTCCATTCGAGATAGCAGCGACAGGCGCGCTACCTTCTGTGATGACTTCATATATCACGCCGGTGTAGTAATCAAGGCCGCGCGCGAGGGAAAGGTCGAATGACACGTTCGGTGTAGCGCCCCAGGCGTCGAGATAGGAGAAGAGGAGGGCCATTTCGTCCACACCAGTCTTGGCTTTTGCATTGGCCATGAGTGCTTCGTCCTTTTGTAATCGCTCGAGGAGGTCCCGACCACCTTTGTGCACAACGTATGTCTGAATTTTATCGGCAACCGCAGGATCGAGGCCTTTGGTTTCCACCATCTCTTGCCGCACCTCACTCCAAGGCGACTTGTCCAGCTTGTCGACGGCAGAGGAGATGGCACGAATCTTGTCCTCGGGCACTCCGCAAACCTCGAACATGCCGTCGAGTATGCGACGGTCGTTGAGCTTAATGGTGTAGCGGCCTTGCCAGCCCAGCGCCTCGAATACCTCGACAACAATGGCGATAACCTCCGAGTCTGCAATCATAGGATCCGAGGCCCCCGCAAAGTCAATGTCGCACTGGTAGAACTCTCGCATGCGGCCTTTCGCAATGGCAGGCTGGTCACGGCGGTAGACCTTACTGATGGCGAAGCGTTTGTAGCTGCGAATGTTATTGTTCATCGCGAGCCAACGCGCAAAGGGGACAGTGAGATCATAGCGCAGAGACAGTAGCTCGCCGCCTTGATCTTTTAGGTCGTAGATGAGTTTCGAGTCCTCGCCGTATTTGCCCTTCAGGACTTCTTCGCGCTCAAAGACGGGAGTGTCGAGCTTTTTGCCCGCATGTTTGCGAAACACGGTGGATATCTGGGAGAGGATGTCCTCAAGTATGTCTACATCCTCACCGGACCAATCTCTTGTGCCCTTGGGATTCTTGATGAGCTCTTGCTTCTTTTCTTTCCCCATGGTGTCGTCGGTGGTGGAGCAATGAGGGCGGGGATATATAGGGAGACGGCCCAGAGGTCGGGAAAAACGCAGGCTTGCTGACGCGGAGTTGCAAGAGAAGAGAAGGCTTGGAAAAGAACGGCAACGAAGTAAGAGACGCATGCGAGCGTGAGTGGGGTGGAGGGGTTTCGACCGGCTTTGCTGTCGAAGATCGGAGTCAGAAATATTTCTCTACTGTCGGCATGACGCCCGCCCGGTCCGCAGCAGAGCCCCGGCCTTGGCATTGGGCGACAGTAGTTGGGCATCATCTTAGAGAAGTCGAAACTTGATCACATTCAGAGCTCGTGAGCACGAAATTATCTGAGAATTGGTCACTACCATGTTGTTGAACCTGGGATATGCCCTGGACTATGACGGCCTGGACTGCGCATCGCACCTCCCATGAAACCATGAGCGGGACTACCATTGTTCTGCCCTCGGCTACTACCACTTCCCTTGCGTCCATTTTCCTGAAGAGGTGGCGGAATCGGGTCGGCATCATCGAAATCGTCAGAGAAGTTGCTAAGTCCTCCTATAGACTGATTGGTGCCTGACCGAGGCCGACCACCGTTAGGCAAGGTGGAGGCGTAGGCTAAGAAAGGCGACTCTGGAGCCTCTGCAGTTGTGACGGGAAGCGTGTTGAAGCTGCCGAACGCGAAGGGCCGGGCGGATTGAGGCATGAATCGAGTGCCAGGAAGCTCTCCTTCTGGAGTGAGTGGACCATTTTGGAGCATCAGCTTGGAGCGCTGGAGCTGGTCTTGCTTGTCCATGATCTCAATTTCACGCCAGTAGTTGTTGGTCTGGATTTGTGCTTCATACAGCTGGGCATTGAGGCGGGAGATGTTTTCAAGCAGCTCCTTCTCACGATGCAGCTGCTCAGCTTGCTTTGCAGCATTGTCAGCCTCCTTTCTTTCTTTCTCGTTCATCCCTTCGGCATTGGCTTGCATGATGCGATCGTGTTGCTCGTTCAACTTGGTTACACGACTGGTAAGGCGATCCTTGCGTGCCACAGCAGACGTCAGCTCGTTATTGTGGCAAGCCAGCTCGGAGTCCGCAGCAGCTTTAGCTTTGACCAACCCTTCGGTGGCTTCAGCCAAAAACCTCTTCTGCTCCTCAAAAGCGGCCTTGCGGTTGTTCCATTCAAGCGTCTCATCTTCCGGCACAGTCTCCAGAGTATCAAGTGCCGACGAAAGGTTGCTGGTGTTGTCCTCGGTTTGGCGGATTTGGCGTTCAGTTTGCAGAAGCTTTTGCCGTAGCTTGTTGTCGTCGCCCCCCGATCTTAGTCGTGCATTCAATGCGTCCACTTCACGGTCGGCCTTGTTGAGTGCAGCTTTGTGTTGACGTTTTAGCTGTCCCAGTCTTCTGCGAGCCTCTGCAAGTTTGCCTTCTTCGCTGGCGATCGAGTTCTTGAGGGTGGTCGTGGGCGACTGAGGGCGGGCAGGCTGTACCGGAGTCGAGACCATGGTGGTCGGGTAGTCCTTGTCGATCAAAACCGGCGTCCTCACCATGACGGATGCGAACTCTTCTCCAGTCTCGGCATCATGGAAAGTGCAAGTGTACGTACAATTGGGTGCGAGACCATTAATCTCAACGTTCCAGTTGCCGACAGCGTTCTCATCATTGATCTCGTCGATTTGTACTGACTGCCATTTAGCGCCGTTTATTCGAACAAACAGCGGTCTCAAGCTTTCCTGAGGGGTGGGATCTTGGTCTTCATAGGAGAGGGCTGTGAACCGAGCTTCGACATGGATAGACGAGGGATCCACGTTCCTGATCCATACATTATCCGATTGAGGTAGTTCGTTATATCCGTCTTGGCTCGTCGCGGCATGAGGTAGGCCTTTTTTATTTTCAACTTCACGCAATACATGGACTTTTGTGCTCGCCAGTGCAGCCCAAAAAGGTTGCCTGCTTCTAACATGGTTTGCTTGTCGTCTCCGTTTTTTGGCAGTCAGGCCCTGCGCCTTGGCATCTCGTAACATCGGTGGAGGTGGAGGCTGATAGTCTGTCCCGGAAGCAGTGGCAGCACCTCCATCGAGGTTTGCCTCTGCTTGGGCGGAACCAGCTGCGGCTTCCGGATCCACGCGTTTGTTCGATTTGCTTGCTGTGCCGGCTTGAGCATTGGTGACTTGGCGCCGAATAAAGGATATCAGAGCCTGGCTCAGAATGTGAATCGCAAACAGACTTCTTAGCTTTGAAGGTGCACCAGGAGTGTCGCCAAAATCTGCATCGGTGGGTAGGTAATGCAGCAATTCAGCCAGCCGAGTTTCTGACAGCAACCCTGTCGGTATTAGATTGGATAGCACAAATTTCCGTACACCACGTGATCGACCGGTATGCAAACACATCATCAGCACAAAGCATATGGTGTTGGCACTGTTGCTTTTTCCCGAACTGCCGTTTCCCAAAGTGATGGCGATATGGATCTGAGCCAGATCCAGGGCAAAGTTCTGTGCCCAATTCCAAAGGCAGATCCATATCAAGAAAACAGCCGTGTCAACCCAGATCATTGTAGCCAGAGAAGGCGCACCGAAAGACCCCTGGAAGACGTCGATAACTGAGGCGATGGACAGAGGGCCGGCTCCAGGCATCAGGGTCAAACTGGCGAACAGGGCTTGGACCATGGTGAGAACCATAGATGGGAGGGCCAGAAGCACGATCAACAGTGAGATAGTATCGCAGGCGGGGCGTGACCGGAGGATGGTGTTGGCAATCTGCAGAGCGCTGACATCGTGGGAGAACTTGTGTTTGACTTTGTGGGCAGCCATTGAATTGCCGTTTGTGAACTCCCACTTTTTGGCATAATCAGGTCCGTCGGTCTCGGACTCGTGGGCTCGTACGGGATCGTCGGATCGTAAGGGCTGCGGCGAGATGGGCGGAGTAGGGACAGAGGGTCGAGGAGCAGACGAGTCTATGAGAGATTCGGTCGGCGTGGATGACTTGGCGATGCCATTGAGTCCCTGGCTGGATCTTTGCTTGACGACGCGCTTGCCGGGGCCTACCAGACCATTCTCGTGACGATTGTTGTGCTGATTCTTTCTTGCACCCGCGGGTCGGGGCATGAAGTTATGACCAAAGAGTAGGCAAATTCAAGCCCAGTTAGCTTGCAGACAGTGAGTCAACAAGCCAACTGGAGACAAGACGGAGACGGTGATGCGCGATCCAAGGGCGACAGGCGTGGGCGCTGCCGGTGCAATGGCTTGGTCAAATGATGCAAAGAAGGTAAATCCCGCCAAAGGCTTGAATAATGCAAGAGAAAAGGCGATGACTGCGGGCGCAGAAACGGAGGCTACCCGTGCTGCTCGTGTCCGCTGCTAACCTTGCTTTTGGGGTGCCTCCTAGGCTCTAGCCCCAGTTTAGCGGAAAATCATCAAGCTTGGCCTCTTCTGCAGGCTATGAGAGCCTTGCCATCGGCAAGTTTGCCGGGCCCAACTACCTGACCTACTTAGTAGTAACCTACTCCGTGGATAGGTTCGGGACCCCCCATGATTAGCCCAACCAAGAGATCATTTAGCCATATTTACAGCGCACCAGCATGATCGTATGGTGGCTTGCTTTCTGCTTACTGACCGAGAGTGAACTCGCCGGTTCCTGGCCTGAGCGCTGACAGGGCAGGAAAAAGCTTTCTCACGCACAGTTTTCTCAGCTCCACCCTACAACAGCAATTCGTGCAGATTGAAGGCTTCCAATGACCATAGGTGCCCACGAAAGGATCAACGGCCGCCGAAAAAGCTTGGATGGCTCCCTTTCCGCTGGGAGGCGCTGGCGAGACTGGCTACACCTATCGACGTGTTACTCATTGCTATCCACATCTCGCCCTTCTCCGCCTGGAGGAAGACGTATACTACTGTATGCCTGGCATTTGCCGGGAGGTGCACCTGACCAACCCGAAACACCTTGGCCTTTAGATAAAGCGGAGTCGCACTGGCTGACCAGAACCGAATATTGACTTTCCCTCAGCCCTCCGCATTCTTGAAGCCGCAGAAATGGTGTGATTAGATGACTAGCACTGCAGCCCCGGTCGCGCTATGTCGATCATCTCGTCCGAGCAGTGCTACAGAATACTCTGTCCGGCGAGAACAGCTTTAACCCTCCCTTCCGAACACGAGTGGAGTCAGTTCGGCTCACACCGTCTCTCGTCTATTGTCTATCTGTTGGCTAACAATGGTTGTACAAGTCAAGGCATCCCTGGCTCCTTTGCTGACTCGTACGAATATCGTGCGCCGTCGCAGAACGAGCACTATCGCAGGAGCTGACTCCCAGTCATGGGCTACTGCCTCCAAAGTCTTCCTTTGCGTCTGGCCTGTCCCAGCTGGACTTTTCGAGATGGCGAATTTGCTCCTCAATTCGATTGACTTGAGCTAAGGCCTTCTCCTTCGCGCTCTCCTGCAGGCTCCATGTATGCCGGAACTGCTCAAGCATGAAGGGTGGCAAAGATGTTTTCGCCGCCGCCTTGTAGTCATACACCACCACATCTTCCAGACATTTCGCCGCCGGCCGCTGTTTGGCTTCGGATAAGATCATGACATCCAGTAGCATGGTTGCCGTCTCCTCGTTAGGCTTGGCCTGCAGCTTGTGATAAACGAAGATCCTATCCGGCCACAGCATCGGGAACTTGAAGTCGACCTTGATGCTTTTAAGGATTAAGCCGACATTGCGTGGGGTGAGAATCTCCTCCCACAACTGTTTGTTGGTGGGATCGACCATGCCATACTTTCTCGTCCAGTTGCAGCGTCCGCTCTCTGCCCATCGCACATATTGGACATTATTGACGTGGCCCATACTGTCCATATCGCCCCACACGATAGGTTGTCGGTGCAGCCCTGCTCTCCTAGGGTCCGTCACGTATCCCTCACTGCCGGCCACGATTTCGCGCCAATCCCGAGCAAGTTCAGCTGCGACTTTGCCGGCTTCGTCGATAAGTGCAAGTGGCATGCCGAACATAATGCATTTTCCTACTCTCGTGCGGGCTTCTGCGAGCCATCGCGCAGCGTTTCCCTTGGTTGGGTCGCTGGTGTTGTTGGTTGACCGACGCAAGCTCGTTGAGAGCTGTCGCGTGAGCGATACTGTCCTACATGGTCGTAGAACGTTACACCGACTCATGTTAGCTTGACAGTGTGCTACAAACATGTAGAGCTCTCACCATCTCCAAATCGTAGAGAGGCCACTGCCGAGGGTGTTCTGAATGAGGAAACATAGCCGAGTAGCATCTGGACAGACGAGGTGACGTCGTTCTCGACGACCTCGACATTCATGTTGAGATCCTCGATTACGGCAATGAGCTGATATCCAGACTTTTCTGTCCCAGAAGTGGACGTGAGAAAGAATTTTGCACACAATGGCTAAGCAACAACTACGTCGCGAAGTCATCAATGTGTATAAAGGTACGTCGGCCAACTGATAGTTTGTCTTTCCCACCTGACTTCCAAAGAACTGCTCGAAATGGGCAAGTCATATCCGTTGGGTTTCGACTACTTCAGACCACGGTTACACAAAGCATTCATGAGTCAGGCGCACCTCGACAAGGAGGACGATATTCGCAAGGGCATTGAGCGTGCGGAATACGTCAAGAAGGAAATCGAGGCCTTGTACTATCTGAAGAAGTACCGTGCGCTCAAGCAAGCATACTCATGACAGATGACGCCACTGTAAAGAGGCATTGCGATGTTCTTGTTGATGTGGTGGAAAGACACCAGACCGGGAGCGCCAAGACTTTGGGCGTCGTGTGCTCGATGTGGACAGCGACCAATATGGATCGGAGGTGAGACCAACACCCGGCTTCACTTAGCCAGCGACGACTGCACGACAAATGAGGCCAGCAGCAAAGAAATATTTGAGATTATGACAGTGCTTCCAGAAGGCTCGTCCTCGAGGAAGATGTCACTAAGGACCCTAAGGCTCAAGCAGGAATTGATGATTCGAGTCCAGATCATGCTGTGCAGTACTACTTCACTTTGGTACGCTTTTGTCAGCTAGATGTGTGTGCATTCACTGCTCTCAGCCGCAAGTAGATTAATGATGTTATAAGTGGAGGCGAATCAGGACACAGCTGAGGCGAGGCTGAAGCCTTGGCATCAATTGCGATTCAGCAGCGTTGTTCACCAGCCTCATCATTGGGACCTTCAAACCACACTCCCTGGCCAGCACTTTTATCCATACTCTCAAAGCCATAGTATATTGACTGTGACATCAAGTAACACTCCTTCACATTGCCATTCGCTCCTTCAGCGACAGCCTCACCCCACTTCTATCGCAATCTTGTTGCCGGGGTGCAACTCAACAGACCCTCCTCCAACTGCGGCAGCAACTTAGATCCATCAACTCACACGTCGGCGCCAGGTCAGGCTCTATCGCTACTTGACCCTGTGCCTCTTGGTTAGCTTGTTGTTCCGGGTCTCATGCCGTACCGACGCCAGCCACGTCCTTCCCACCTGTCCTCCTCTTTCGATATCCCCTCGACCCCTCCACCACCTCCTGGTCTGCTCTACCTTCCGCCGACGGGATACTACTCGGGCTCAGGCTCATCATAGTTGATGGCCGATGGTCCATTGCGGTACCAACAGCCCGCACCCAATTTGTTTTACAACGCTCATAGCCCTCGGAACGCCTCACGAACAAACTCTCCTCGTAACCCCCGTCGACATTTCGCCGAATTCCCGTCTCCTACAGCCTCACCTTTGCATGCGATTGCTTCGCACGGACCCACCATGTTCCACAATGCTTATCAAAACCACAATAATATGATGAATGGGGCGCAGAGCCACCAGAGATTTGGCAATATGCAAGTGCATAAGCAGCACCAGCAGCACTATGGACCTCATGGTCCTATGGGCCATCACCAGCACCAGCACGGTCCGATGCACCAACACAATATTTCTGGCGGCTTTAGTAATGCGCAGCATCACGTCCTCGGATTCCAAGATCAGATGCAAAACGGAGGCGGCGACGCAAGCCCCGACGATATCGAGGATATGGACAACGACTACTGGAAAGAGCAACAGTCATGCCTCCAAGAGTGCCGGGAAATGCATGGACCTAATCAGCGTGCAAAGAATGTCGCTCATAATGCGAAGGGCATCAGCTACATCGGCGCGGATGACCCGAACTCAGATCGGGCGAAAAAGGCTGGCACGACTACAGGCAGTAGGTCCGACTGGGATGAATTAGACCTCGGTGGTCAAGGTCTCCATGCTCTCTCCCCAATCTTGTTCAACGCATACGGCTTCATCAGACGCCTCAACTTGGGATGGAACAATCTGACTGTGCTTTCACCAACCATCGGCCAACTTAAGCAACTCGAACATCTTGATGTGTCATTCAACCAGCTAAGCGAGCTACCTCCGGAGATCGGAATGCTCTCCAGTCTCAAGCAATTGCATCTCTTCAACAACCGGATACAGACCTTGCCTTACGAAGTTGGCTTTCTGTTCAAGCTGGAAATGCTGGGCATTGCCGGAAATCCTCTTGAGTCTGGTCAGAAGGACAAAATAACCGAGGGCGGCACGAAGGCTTTGGTCCATCACCTAAGAGAAAGCATGCCTGGTGAGTTACACACCTATCCCGCACGAGTACAAGCTAATCCCTCTAGAACCTCCCCCGCCTCGCGAAAGAGTTTGGCACCAACTCGATGAGTCCGCAGAAGAATCGACAGACTCGGTCAAAGCACTCTCCTACAATATCCTTTGTGAACGCTACGCCACGCCCACGATGTATGGCTATGTTCCGGAGAGAGTGCTCAGCTGGGCCTACCGGAAGACTCTCATTCTGGACGAGATTAGAGAGCAGAATGCCGACATTGTCTGCCTGCAGGAACTAGACAAGAATTCGTACGATGAGTGGTTCCGTGGCAAGCTCGCTGAGGTTGGCTACAAGGGATACTTCGCGCAAAAGAGCCGAGCCGAAACGTTAGGCGAGAACGCGCGTTTCGTGGACGGATGCGGTACCTTCTGGAAAGACAAGAAGTATATCCAGCTTCATGCCGATCACCTGGTTCTGGGCCGAAAGGCGGTTGAGCGACCAGGAGCGAAAGCCTCGGCAGATATGCTGAATCGTGTGTGGCAGCGAGATGACATTGCGACTGTGGTTTTCCTCGAGAACCGCGTCACCGGCTCCAGGATTATCGTTGTGAACTCTCACATCTTCTGGGATCCCGCGTTCAAGGATGTGAAGCTGATTCAAGCAGCCGTCATGATGGAGGAAGTGTCGAAACTCGCCGAGCGGTATGCCAAGTGGCCAGCGGTCACGAATAAGCAGACTTTCCGCTTCGCTGATGCCGACGACAGCGCTGAGCCTCCGCCAGAGATGGGCCCCTCTCTCGAATACACCAGTCCGGCTCAAATCCCGATGATCCTCTGCGGTGACTGGAACTCCGGAGCCGATTCGGCGGTGTATGATTTGTTCACTAAGAAGGGTCTTACGGCGCAGCACGACGATCTGGCAGGGCGCGATTATGGCACATTTTCGAAGAACGGCATGTCACACGAGTTCTCATTGAAGTCGGCGTACAGTGGCATCGAAGACGAGATGCCTTTCACCAACTACACACCCTCATTCGCAGGTGTACTCGATCACATCTGGTTCTCGACCAACTCGCTTCGTGTAACCGGCCTACTTGGCGAGATCGATCCCGAGTACCTCAAGCGGGTACCTGGGTTTCCAAACTTCCACTTCCCGTCCGATCATCTGGCGTTGGTGGCAGGCTTCAGGGTGGAAAAGCGGCGAAAGATTGAAAAGGTGGATGCGGACTTTGGCCCTTCAAGTCGAAAGTAGATCGCTCGCGGAAAGGGCCTTGGCCGGATGGTTGCGGCAATCTTCTTGTCGACAGGTTGACATCTACGGCGTGCCTTGTTATGTCTTCTCATGGCTGGCATTTCTCGGGTATGGATGGGGGTGGACGGGATGTGACGTGAAGGAATACGCGGGGAGGTGTTGTTATTGTATTGCTGCCAATCTCTTTTTTTGTTGCGTTTTGTGTGTTTTGGAAACGAGGTTATGCGGCGCGCAACAAAAACCGGCTTGTGTAGAGGTGGTGTCGAGGGGGTAAAGCATGTGTCGTTCTGGAGTCTCCTGGTCGATATGATGTGAAGTCGATAGGACAACTTTTCCGCCACTTATGCAAATGCATTCCACGTTCCTGGCTGGTAGCCCGGTGCAAATCAATCGACTTTCCTCTCAGCCGTGTGCCTCGCCCCATCGGTGCCGTCTGTGCACGCGAAGAGTAGGATGGCGCTTGCCGACCGCGGCTCGCAGATCCGGGAATCCATTGAAGCGAACCTCCCGTCATCAAGCGACGCGATCAACTGCAATCTTCCCCGCGAGACAGCAAGTCGATCATTCAATGTTCGTTCATTCCTCCGCTGCAGCCAAGCCACCCTCACCTTCCCGGCCCAGCCATCTCACGCCTCCTGTCCTCCTTCTCTTTCCGCTCCGCTATCCTCTCATGCAGCTTCAACAACCTCTGCTCCTCCTGAATCTTCCTCTGCATGAGCTGGCCCCTCACCGTCTCCAGCGCCGATATCGACCGGTTCAGGTCCGAGAGCGAGACCTCGGCCACCGCCTGCTGCCTGCTCCCCTTGTCTATACCCGTCTCCGCTTGACCCTGTGTCTGCGGTGCTGCTGCACTACTGCTGCTGCTGCTGCTACCGTCGGGCTTCAGGCCCTGCAGGCTCTTCGTCTGCGGGTGGCACTAGTCAGCACCATTTTGCGCCTCAAATGTAACCGTGACACTCCCGTCTCCGCATCTGCTTGAGAAAACATTTTTCCAACCGAGTGAGAAAGGTGATGCGGCGGCAAATAAAAAACTTACCGTTCCCGCTTCCCGCCACTGCTGCCAATAACTCTTCAGATACGCGCCAATCAAGCCTCCCGAGGCGGCGATGACGGCAACGCCCACGGCCCAAATGCCCGCGCGGGTTTTCCTGTAGCTGGCTGAGGCGAGCTCGGCTTCGTAGTTGATCTTTGCGGGTTTGCGCGGAGTGGTGCGTGGTGGAGGGAGGGACGACCGCGGGTGAGGAGGTGGGGGAGGAGGGCCGGTCATGGTATGGCGGGTTTATGGGGGAGGAGCCATTGGGAGGGGAGGGTGTGCAGTGCAGTGCGGAGGTTCTGGTGCGGCGGAAGTGGAGGCATGTGGTTCGGAAGGTAGTTGCGCGAGTGGTGGTTGTGGGTGGGAGGAGTAGGGTGGCGGGGGAAGCTGAATGGATGCTTCGGCCCAGCAATGCTGAGAGCATTCTCCAATCGGCTTCCACGATAATCACCACTATTTGCACAGTCCAGACGGACAAACACTACACTATAGCATGCCCCTGCTGACAAGAAGCTCTTACCAAGCACCCCGTGCATAGATACCTAAGTTCTTCCGCCGGCACAGCAACTTGCAGGAGCTACTTGTTTGCTCTCTGAGACAGAATGTCTGTGTAGGTATCTCGTCTCGCCTCCGTCAAAGACGCTCTGACTCCGGTCAAAGTTGGAGCCGTATACTCATCTTGGCCATCTCCCTTTTTCAATGTCGAACTCGAGGTCACTACGAGTACTGGGAGGCAATCGTAGTCCCTCTCCTCTGCGACATGTTGTAAATGACAGGACAGAGGCACAACTTTGCAAGCCGACAGGCTAATCCGTCTCCACGGTCGACATTTCGATCTCCAGTCGATTCAGACAGCTCCTTTTGGCACCGGATGTCACCGGCTGCTAAGCTCGTGGCGTCACAGCTTCCTGCGAAGACCATGGGAAGCCTTGGAAAGATCGGGGCTGTATCACTCCAGGATTTCAAGAGTGTCTTTCGAGCAAACTTCCGCTGTGGCAGATGGCACAAAGACGGGGACTATGCGTTGCCTCGACAAAGCTGCGTGATCAGGACGCTGGCTCTGGACTGGACGTTGCTGGGAGGGCGAGCAACTGCTGATTCACCTCTCAAGGGAGTCATCGACTTGGACACCGAAGGAGTGCCTGGATGGCATGGCTCGAACGCGTTCCAGACCCGATCAACCCTGCCTCTATGACCTTTTTGCCTCTTGAGCACTTTCTGTTTCGGCTCGGATTCTCCGCGAAGGGCCAAGGAGAGCTGAGTGCTGCCGCAGGTCTCATACTCCACGCCTCGAGTCTCTCTCCTGAACCCGTCGCACAACCTACCTACCAACTCTACACCATAGTCTGGCCCCGCAAATTCCTCACACTCGCTCCCCTCCACGCGACGTCCTCGCCCCCAACATCAGACCTATTCCCCAACTCCTTCCACCGCCATCTCCGCTCGCGCTGTATCCCTTTCCGTACCACGTCCACGACCCATTCTCCCGCGACGGGCAAGAATTTGAAAGCATGCCCGCTATCGGCGCCCGCGACGAGCAGGTCTGTGTGCGAAGGCACAAAGTCGATGACAAAGTCGGAGGACGCCGTGTCTGCGCACCAGCACATGGACTTGCGGACGAAGGGCTTGCTGAGAAAGTGAGCGGGAAGCGTCAGGCGGATGAGTTCGCGGAGGAGTTGCTCGTCGGACGCTGGGATGACAGCCAGCGGTTCTGCTGGTGGGAGCACGGCTGGCTGCTCAGTGGCTCGCTCTGTTGAGCTGCCAGGGCTTCTGGGGTCCGAGTTGGTCCAGCCACCTCCGTGAGCGGCGAATTTGAGGAGGTGCTGGCCGCCCTTGCCGCCGTTGGGGGTGTCTTCTGGTACAAAGACCGGCTCGATCCAGAAGCCCAAGCCGCCCAGGCTCACGACAGGACTGTCCTGCAGCTTCGCTGCCTCGTCGGGCGTGAGTTCGAGATGCGCGACGGACCACGACTTGCCCGTCAACTGCGTGGCCGCTGCAGGAAACAGTCGCGGCAGTTCCGCACCCATGGCAAGGATCGTTAAGCACGGCTGATCCTCAGGGTGCAGATGCCGGTCACCATTCGACGCACATACACCCGTCACCCGCCCCTCAGCCGACTTCTCCAGCTCCGTGATGTGCCCGCTGGGACCAAGCACAAACTTCACGCCAGCATCCACACACCTCCTATGCAACACCCGAATCGCCTTCGACGCCAACGCGTAGCCCGCATGCCTATTCAGCGCCCCCTTCCACCCCTCCTCCCCCAACAGCTCCCCCCTCATCTGCGGCACAGCCTTCTGTGCCTCCTCACCCGACCCCAGAAGCGCCTCAAAAGCCTCCGTTGGGAACCACCTCCTCCGCGGGCTCCCAGCCCTCGCCCCCGAGAAATACGCCACATCCCTCGCAATCCCCGCCTGCGCCTCCACCGTCTTCGCGAGCCTCACATACCCCGTCTTGCGAAAACACCCCTCCCACCCCTCCGACTCCCACGCCTCGATGGCCTGCAGCGCCAGGTCCGTATAGAAGTCGTCGGTGGCGTGGCCGGCGCCGTACTCGGCGCGGACGATCTTGTTGAGGTCGTGGCTGGCGGCGTGGGGGCTAGGCAGGGTGGCGGAGCGGTCGAGGACGGTGATGTTGGTGTAACCGGCGAGACACAAGTGGTGGGCACTGGAGAGGCCGAAGACGGAGGCGCCGAGGATAAAGATTGAGGTTGTGGGGGGGTAGGGGTTGGGTGGTGCTGAGGGGGATGAGGAGGCTGAGGGAGGCGAAGTGGTAGTGGATTCTGGAGATGGGTTTGCCATGGTGGTGGGCAGTCGTTGTAGGTTGGTGGGTAGGGGAAGAGGATGGGAAAGGGGGAAAGGGAACGAGAAGACTCGATGAAGAGGAGACAGACTGGAGCATGTCCAGGGAGGAAGGGGAAGGTGAGCTAAATACCTGCTGCGTGTGGTATAGTTCAAGGAGGAGGAGGAGCACTGCACCTGCAAGACGGTGGGTCGTGTGGGTCCAGCTGCATTCACCAACCACAGCTACAGATTCACTGCCTACTCCAAACATCAGGTGAGCTGTCCGCAATCGCACTCATCACACCCAAGCCACAGATCTCTACAGTACGCGGACACACACTCTCTACGTAGTATATCTGAAATCCCGCTGCTTCCAGTCTGTCAGATCATGGAATCTGTCCTCCACCGGCGCCCCCTCGGCCGGCACCTCCTCCGCCACCAGCAGCAGCCGCCGGTTCATCCTCACGCAGACCAGCCAGTACACGAGAATCAGCCCGATGCACGCACAGTAGCAGCACAGCATGGCCACGACGCCGCCCGTGTACGCGGGTGCCTGGCTGGCGCGGAAGGTCTGCGGGCCAATGAGATTGCCGACGGCGTAGCCCACGTAGAGAACCGCGAAGGCCACGTTCTTCTTGGTGTTGCCGGCTGTGTTGGCTTGTGCGAGGGAGATGCCTACCACGTAAGGGCCGAAGTAGGTGTAGCAGAGATACAGGCCGACCATTTGGGCGGGCACGGCGGTGCGGGACACGCCGTACAGGATGGCGGTGCCGATAATGGGGATGACGCAGGCGATGACGGTGACGATGCAGCGGCGGTTGGCCCATTTCGCGGCGATGAGACTGAAGATGAAGGAGGCCAAGGTGGACATGACGCCCGTGGGCATGGAGAGGAGAGAGGCTTCCTTGGCGCTGAAGCCGAGGTTGTTGATGATGATGCCGTTGAACGTGGTCAGGCCGCCGTTGGGGATGTTGATGGCGATGTTGAAGAAGAATATGATCCACGTCTTAGGATCCAGCAGGGCCTCGCGCACCTGGTCCCACTTCCACGTCTTGTTGACGATGCCGGTCTTGTTTTGCGAGAGCCGGCCCACCCAGAAGACTTTTTCTTCTTTGGTGAGGAAGATCGCGTTCATGGGCGAGTCTGGGAGGAAGATAAGGACAAAGATGGACCAGGCCATGGAGATGGAGCCAACCAGGAGGTAGAGGTATTGCCATTTAGCCAGGGGTGCGTCGTCCGGAATGTGGCCGATGAGCCACGACAGGAAGCCGTTGACGACCGAGCTGGCTGCGGCAAAGACGAGGGCGTTGCGAGGTGGTTGTTCTTCTTTCTTGTACCAGCCTGCGATCAGAACAGATATGCCGGGTACAATGATGGCTTCGAACGCTCCCATGAGCTGGACTGCATTAGAAGAGCATCATTGAACAGACAAGACACACTCACAAATCTGACGGCCATCATGCCAGCCCAGTTGGTGCAAGCAGGGAAGATCAGAGCCATAGCTGACCACCCGCAAGAGCAAGCGCAGAGGTACTTGCCGGAGGGAAACTTGTGCATCAGCGCAGACGAGGGAAACATGCCCACGAGAGCACCCAAGGACAGGATGGATCCGAGCCATGAGTACTGTTGGCCATGGAGACCGATATCGTCTCTGAGCCCATAGATGGCTGCGGTCGAGATGGCGACTTTGTCAACCGCACCAAGAGTAGCCGTAACGAAGAGCTGCAAGTAGTCAGCATAGGCCCGAGCGCGGGCAGACGAGATCCTCGACTCACCATAGGAAGCAGGAGGCAGTCAATCTTGCGTAGCAGCCTCTTCTCTCTCGCAGGAGACAACGCTGGCTCTTGCACATCTGCGTTGGCCAGGAACAGCGCAGCATGGTCGAGTTGCTTTACATCGTTGGCAGGCTTCTCGGGCTCAGTCGCCTCCGAAACTGCACGGGCTGGAGTCTTGTCGATGCTGTCGCTGTTGTCCATTGCTGGCCAAGTTTGGAAGATGTTATGCTCCAACCTGTTCCCACGTGCGGGTGCTGGCGAGGTTTTATGCCTCGCAAAGACGTCTACACACCCAGGCCACGCGACTCTTGGTCCGAAGGTAATTGATATCGGGTGCAGATCCACTCTGCTATCTTCCCCAGCCGCTCCATGCCGCCCCGTAGAGATAGCGGCAGGAATCCGTGGAGAGAATGAGATTGAGACTTTGAAGACCTTGCTGGTGTCTATGCACGAAACGAGTTAGGGCCGAGTCGCTTGAAGGTGCAATGGACCGAAGAGGATGGTCGACACGACCGGGCATTTCCCACGTCTGAGTGGGCAAAACCTTGGCTTAACAAACAGGCAGGCCGACACGATGGGAGGCGGCCGGCCCAAGATATACTCGCCAGTGGCAACGCGGATGGTCGGTTATGGGCTGGCCGGTCCCTCACGACCGCTGGGCGCATGATGAGAATGGACAGCACAGGGTTTAGCGGCTGCTTGGAGCACGTCGTATTGACCTGCCCGAAGTAGGCTATGTGTTTGGGGAAGAACAACACGGGGCCACACCCCATCGCTCGCCTGATGCATGTGGTGGTACAGCCCTTTGGCATGTATCGTCTTTAAGAAAGAGTATTGGGACTTGGGTCACGTCGCTTCGGGCTAATCACATCACCAAAGATGGGTTCGATACAGCAGATATCCCCCGTGAAAGGCATCAAGATCGCAATAGATCGAGGAGGGACATTCACGGACATATGGGCAACAGCGCCAGGCCAAGCGGATCTGGTCTTCAAGCTGCTGTCAGTTGACCCGGGCAACTACGACGATGCCCCTGTTGAAGGTATGACAACCCAGCAAGATCCATGAAGCAGCAGCACTGAGACAAGCAGGCATCCGCCGTGTCATCTCAGCGTTCACGGGCGTCGAGATCCCGAGGCACGTCCCGTTGCCCAAGGATGCCATTGAGAGCATTCGCATGGGCACCACGGTGGCCACCAACGCGTTGCTGGAGCGGAAAGGGACCAAGCACGCCTTCCTGGTAACCAAAGGCTTCAGGGACCTCCTGCCCATCGGCTACCAATCCCGGCCTCGATTGTTTGACCTCAATATCGTCAAGCCCGACGTGTTGTATTCGGATGTGTGTGAGGTCGACGAGCGCGTCACCATCGAAGCTTTTGACGAAGATGTCGATGGCCTTTTCAATGCGACCACCGAGGAGGTCCCCGGTGTGCTCGAACGCGGCCTCAACGGTCAGCTGATTCGTGTCTTGCAGCCGCTGGACAGGACGTCACTGAGCGAGCAACTCCAGCGGCTTCGGACCCGGGGCTTCGACACCGTAGCGGTCTGTTTCACGCACTCCTACGTCTATCCCAAGCACGAGTTGCTGGCTAGGCAATTGGCACTGGACGCCGGGTTCAAGCACGTATCGCTGTCATCGGAAGTCGCCGCAAGCATGATCAAGATGGTCCCTCGCGGGAGTTCGGCGTCCGCGGATGCCTACCTGACTCCCGAAATCAAGAAATACCTCGATGGTTTCAAGAAGGGCTTTGAAGGAGGACATCTGGACGATGTCAAGTGTGAGTTCATGCAGTCAGATGGCGGGCTGGTCAGACACGACAACTTCAATGGACTAAAAGGCATCCTGAGCGGTCCAGCAGGTATAGTTCCCTACATTAGATCGATATATTATTTGACTCACAGATCCAGGCGGTGTGGTCGGGTATGCCCGAACATCCTTTGACACAGAAACAAAGACACCAGTCATCGGTTTCGACATGGGAGGCACCAGCACTGATGTCTCCCGATTTGGTGGTACTTTTGAGCATGTGTTCGAAACAACGACTGCCGGCGTGACGATCCAGAGTCCTCAGCTCGATATCAATACGGTAGCAGCAGGCGGCGGCTCAATCCTAGCGTGGCGAAACGGCTTGTTCGCTGTCGGCCCCGAAAGTGCATCATCGCATCCCGGGCCAGCATGCTACCGCAAAGGTGGCCCGTTGACCGTCACAGATGCCAATCTCTTCGTCGGCCGTCTGGTACCCGAGTCATTTCCGTCCATCTTCGGCCAGAACGAAAACCAACCACTCGACGAAGAGATCGTCAAGGCAGAATTTGAAGAACTTACCGCGAGCATTAATCGCGAGATAGGGGGGTCACTGACACCACAAGAGATTGCCTGTGGCTTTCTGGACGTCGCCAATGAGGCCATGTGTCGCCCAATCCGAGCGCTTACCGAAGCGAAAGGACACTCCTTGTGTAAGTGATGGTACAACTGTTGTGCAGCAAAGAAGCTAATTGAGGGCAGCGTCGCATAATCTCGGCGTCTTTGGTGGCGCCGGCGGTCAACACGCGTGTGATCTGGCTGCGAAGCTCGGCATTCGTACCATCATCATTCATCGATACTCCAGCATTCTCTCGGCGTACGGGATGGCGCTGGCGGACGTGGTCCAGGAAGCACAGAGACCACATAGCCAAGTGTACACTGACGATAGCCGCGAGAGTCTGAATGACATCTTTGCGTCTTTACAAGAGCAGGTCAGAGCGAAGGTCATGGCGCAAGGTATTGCGGAGGACCACATCCGGTACGAATACTTCCTCAACATGCGATACAAAGGCACCGAGACGGCGATGATGATTCTCGAGTCCCCAGAGTCCGACTTCAAGACGGGTTTTCTCAAAAGACACTTGCAAGAATTCAACTTCGTCTTCCCCGACGACCGCGCGATCCTGGTCGATGACGTTCGTGTGAGAGGTATTGGCGGCAGCAAGGGCACAAGCCCCGATACTAGTCGACCACTCCAGGAGCTGCGCCAGCTGACTTTCCAAGCGGCCTCGACAAAGTCGACAAGCACCGTAAGTATTGACCTCGAAACCATTCCCCTAGAGCTTGCTGACCGTAGGCAGAGGACCGTGTACTTTCAAGGCCAAGGTGCTCAGCAGGCGCCAGTGCATATCTTGCAAGACCTAGTCCCTGGTGAGCTTGTCAAGGGGCCTGCCATCATCCTGGACAACACGCAGACTCTGGTCATTGCACCTGGAGCTGAAGCAAAGATCCTGACCTCGCACGTGATCATCGACGTCTCGACCATTGCGAAAGTAGATATTTCAGGACGGATGGTTGACCCTGCTACGCTGAGCACCTTTGGACATCGATTCATGAGCATTGCCGAGCAGATGGGCAGAGCTCTGCAAAACACTTCGGTATCGCTGAACATCAAGGAGCGACTGGACTTCTCTTGTGCCATCTTTGGGCCAGATGGTAAAGTAATCCTCCACTCCGGCGATGCATAGACGCTAACAACTGTTTTCTTAGCGGGTCTCGTCGCCAACGCTCCTCACGTACCGGTCCATCTGGGATCCATGAGCTATGCGGTCCGGTACCAGCACGAGCTTCTGAAAGGGAAGCTCGTACCCGGCGACGTACTGGTCTCGAACCATCCCGAGTCAGGAGGCACCCATCTGCCTGACATCACCGTCATCACGCCTGTATTCGACCACACCGGCAAGGAGGTGGCCTTCTACGTGGCAAGCCGCGGACACCACACCGACATCGGCGGCCTCGGAGGCACATCGATGCCGCCGAACTCGACGGAGCTCTGGCAAGAAGGCGCCGCGATCCGCTCCTTCAAGCTCGTCCACAACGGCCATTTCGACGAAGAAGGCATCTCCAAGATCCTCCTCGAGCCGGGCCAGCACCCCGGCTGCAACGGTAGCCGCGCCCTCAGCGCCAACATCTCCGATCTAAAAGCCCAAGTCGCCGCCAACAACAAAGGCTCCAGCTTGATCCGCGCGCTGATGGACGAGTGGTCCCAAGAGGTGGTGCAGCTGTACATGTCCGCCATCCAAGAGAACGCGGCCGTCGCGGTCCGGTCTTTCCTGCAGGAGACGCTGCGCCTGCGGGGCCCGGAGCTGTACGCCGAGGATGCCATGGACAACGGCTCGCTCGTCAAGCTCAAAGTCACGATCCGACCCCGGGGCGACGCCACCTTCGACTTCACGGGCACTTCGTGTGAGCTGCTGGGCAACATGAACGCCCCGCCGGCGATCACGCACTCGGCGCTGCTGTACTGTCTGCGCCTGCTGATCGGGGCCGACATCCCGATGAACCAGGGCTGTCTCGCGCCCGCCACCATCGTCCTGCCCAAAGGATGCTTCCTGAACCCCTCCGCTGGCGCGGCGGTGTGTGCCGGAAACACGCAGACGTCGCAGCGCGTGTGCGACGTCATCATGAAGGCATTCCAGGTCGCGGGTGCGAGCCAGGGCTGCATGAACTGCCTGGGCTTCTTCGGCAAAGGCGGGCAAGACGCCAGCGGCAAGCCCTTGTCGGGCTTCGCGTACGCGTTTGGCGAGACCATCTGCGGTGGTTCGGGCGCTACTGCGGCCGCCGACGGAGCTAGTGCTGTCCATACACACATGACCAATACCAGGATCACGGACGCGGAGCTACTGGAGAAGAGATATCCGGTTGTCTTGCGTGAGTTTTCGATCCGTGCAGGGAGTGGAGGAAAAGGCGCAAGGTCAGGAGGCAATGGTGCAGTTCGAGATATCGAGTGTAGGGCACCACTCACATTCAGTGTGATCACCGAGAGGAGAGTCACCAAGCCGTATGGCATGAGGGGAGGAGGAGATGGCGAGCGCGGAGCAAATTACTGGGTGAAGAAAGCTGAAGACGGAGCAGAACGGTGGGTCAATTTGGGACCGAGAAACATGGTTGAGATGGGCACAGGCGACCGATGTGTGATACACACTCCTGGAGGAGGAGGGTTTGGGTCGCCGGAGCTCGAGCTTGGTTCGGTGGCACAGGAGAAGGTCCAGTGGCCACGAGCAACTGGCAGTGTCTCCGCTTATGCAACAGCGCAGGCAGAGTCAACATAGATAGATCAGGCTAGACTAATACACGACCTCGTGATGGGACCATCGTCGTTGTCCAGCGTCAATCCCCCGGCCACAGCTTCGACCAGACGACGCGCATGGCAGATACTGCCAAGTGGTCTCGATTGCTCGAGCAACAACAGCCTCATGAGAACGAACTGATGTTGCTCATGGGAAGTGAATCGTGAGACGCCTAAGATGAACAGTGGCCACAAGGTCGCGGCATTTTGGGCTGGAATTTCCGCAAGGAGACTGACAAGAGTTTGCACGATGGCTGATGTATCGATGTCCAACGCGTCCACGGTAATTGCTGCACTTAGCTTCTCCGCCAGATACAGCAAAGCCGCCAGCCGCTTTGCTTCTGCTATGGCCAGTACGGCTTCCACGTCATTGATTCCGTGGGCTGGGTGCTGCTCAAGGCATTGCAGTTGATCCAGCATCGTTGCCCATTCGTAAAGAGACTCATCTGCAGGAATGATGCCTTGATTGATCCAGCGACTGAGGCACGAGATACGCTGTATGATCGAGATGAGGGCCCGGGAGCAGCCCATCAGCACATCGATTTCCTGGAGGTCGCCTAGGAGCCAGACATGGTCGACTGCCAGGGTAGAGTCATCCCAGGCAGTCTGTCCCATAACGTCGTGGGCCACGAAATAGATTTCGCAAAAGGCCTTCAGGCCATGATCAGTGCTTGTCTCGGTGCGTAGAGCTTGCAACATGCGCAAACCCATCCTGAGATGCGTCATCCATGACGGGGCGCAACCATCGGAGATGTCGAAGAAACAGAACATGAGCATGACCGCAAGGCTTTTCCAGTCCATTCTCTGAGATTGCAGGTGTGTGCGGAGGCCTTTGATTGCAGCGTCTCGAAGGTTTAGCGACGGCTTTTCATACTGGATATGCTGCTGCAGACGCAACTCGTTTGCCGCAGCTGCAAGCAGAGCATGTCTCAAAGGTGCAAATTCTGCTGCAACGGGCAGGAGTGTATACAGATAGGGATTGTTCGAACTGCTCAGCGAGCATTTCGGCGAGAGCTCATTGATGTAGTAGTCCAACAGGAAAGCATCGCTGCCGTGGTAAGGTGAATGCGGTGGCACCGGAATGCAGGACCAGGTTGCCTGTCGCGTGACTTCCTCAATATCATCCTCTTCCTCTTCGTGCTCGGATTCTGGTGAATTGCTGAGTGGGTCTGACTGAAAGTCCGCGACTGTGGTGTTCAGGAACTGGTATTGATAGGTAGTGCTGGACCCCGTGTTGTTCTCGGCTGCTACAGTCTTGTGGCTCCAGACAGTCTCCTTCGCTCGGCCATGAGCTATGTTGCGTTGCGCAGCATCGTCTTCCCAGAGCAATTTGGTCTCGTAGAGGCATTCATGTCCTAGCCTGCTGCATCTGGCGCATGCAGGACGCTCTTCGGGACACCGAACATGGGCTCTCTTGCACGCAGCACAGCCGCTACGTTTTCTCGGTGCGTTCTGCTTTCTTCTCTGGACCATGGGACAGAGGGCGTCGCGGCGATCGCCATACGGTTTAGCGATGGCAGGGGTTACTGGTGGCAAGTGGATACGGCAGCAAATCAATCAGCTGCAGCATATAGGAACAGCCATTGTCGGGTTGAACAGGCCCATGAAGTGTTGTGATGGTTAGAAGAATGGAATCGCGAGAAGGCAATGCGGGGAAGAAGTGACGCCCAACGGCCGCCTAGAAGCTAGTGGCAGAGGTCGCCGATTAGGTCCCCGCATCTTTATCTATTACGCCCCTGCTATGCTAGCGGTACGTGCTCCTAAGTCCCACGGAGCGCTGCTGTCCTACGATCAGTGGCAGCGCCTTACGGTACACTCGCTGCACAACTACAATCGTTGCACACGAACTTGGTGCAAGCGTTATCGAAGGGAATAATATCCTGAAACCCCCTGCCCATCAGCCGGCACTTGTAGCCGAGGGGACGTAGCAAGTTTTGATTCTTGCCAATCCGTCACTTTCTCTGGCGCTGGTCTCTGATGGTCCGAAGTAAAGTGGCTTGAAACAGATACTACAACTTCCACTCCCAACATTCGGCGCATCCTCGAGCCCTTGTCCGTCTTTCCTCATCAGTTGGAGGCCATACCTCCAAGTTGGGTGCATCATCTTGGCGCGCCGCAAGGCTACCGCCCCTGGAGGGTGGCCACGCTCGATCGAGGGCTTCGGTATCTGAAGTCGATGCTGCTGCTCTGCTTGGATGCAACGGCGATGTGAGTAAACGCAGAATGGACTGGCCGTCCTTTCCCCTGCATATTCGACTCCACTGAGCTTACGGAGGGGGAGCATTCTCACGCAGCTTTACCAGCAAATGCCCGGATGCTATCAGGTGCAGCACTGCTCTGAGAACTCAGCATGAGCTATACTATGAATTCCGTACGAGACGGACACTACCAAGTGAAACCATTGATCTGGATATCGTGTCTGATTGGGCGACTATCTACTTCTGCCGTGTCTGTCGTTTCCGTGGTGCTTAGCACCATTTTGCGACATATGAGCTTTGCGGAATGTTGTCTCGTGGTGTCATTTCTGACTCCCGCTTTCCTCTCATTGCTTTAATGACAGCTTTGCTTTCCCAAATGAAACCGCCCCATCGGCACGTTGGCTAAGATCATTCTAATCTCGTCTGTCCCTTGCCATCCCCATAACGCCTTGCCAGGACTGGTACCTAACCATGAATCGTGCTCTGCACCATTCACGCAGACCAATTTCTATCATCAATGTCGTCTTTGGCCTACTCCATGTATTTGGGCCAATCGGGCCGGTGACCTGAAGCCGACAGCAAGATTGTTGGAATTTCGACTGGCTCTTGCCGCAGCTCTCGCTCGATAGAGCCCGGACGTAGAGAGATTCCGATCCGATCGTCACCAAACTCGTCAATGCTATCCATCCAGCGGAGATACTCTGCAGCCACTCGGATTTGGTCTCGCAAGGCGCCTTTGTGATGTTGCCTCGCCCAACCTCGCGAGAACTCAACCCACCGAAACCTTGTTGAGTGAGCAGCATAATCGGGATGGTCGAATATACAGTCCGAGCACATGGCCTGAAAGCGTCGATTGCCCCATGGCTGCTGCAGGTGCGGCTGCGCAGAATATACCGCCGACAGCCTCGTCCGTGTGAAGCTTGCCAAGTACTTTGCTTTTGTTTTCGTCACTCCCTCTGGAGCGCTCGTCTTCCCATCCAAGATCAAGCGTTGCGCGTCGAGTATATGGTGTTAGATGCCACTGCTTTTCGTTGGCGGACATAAGCGAACACTCCTGGAAGTAGCCATGGTCACGTATGCGTTGGCAGCCCCAGCAAATGCAGCACATCTGAAGCCGGAATATATCATTGTCGGTGTAGCCCGAGCTCTTAAGTGCTTGAAGATTAGAGCTGTTGTTTCTGAAGTCGCTTTCAACGCTTTCTAGTGCATTGAGAAGACTCAAAGGACTGATCGCACACTTCACATATCGACAAGTCTGGCGGAAGCGGTTGAGGTCTGGATATCTCAGAAAACCATAGACGACATGCTGAATCTCGGCTGGAAGATCCAGAAAACGGAAACCCGTGCGAGGCAGAGGTTGGGTGAGGGGAGTGCTACCATTATGGTCAGGACCCGCAGAAATCACAAGGGCTGTATGAAAGCTGCGTCCATGGCAGTGGCGTACCTATTCATGGCTGTACGATTATAAAACGATAACTTTAAACTCCTTGATATATGAGAAGATGAGCGAGAGTGTTTCCCGTCGATGACGGCGATGATAAGGTGAGATAGGAGGACGAAAGTCCAACAACTCGGTGTGTGGTGGTAAGATAGAATGTCAAGGATCAGGCAACAGCCAACCAAGTCAACATCATGGGCTGCTGCTGTCTGGTGACAGCGCCGACACTAAACGTGAGGGTGAAGTGATGTCGAGGAGAGCCAGGACATGTGATGCTAGAGGCATCGAGGATTACGACCGGCTCAGTTCACGGGGAGATCTTGAAGATGCATAGAATTCGAAATGCAGACACTCTTGTTGTGCCCATGTTAGACAGCTTGCACCTCTGCCGCCAGTCGCCACCCGACCTTCCGCTGAGCTCTTGTTAGTCTCTTCTTCGCGATACCCATACCCTGACCTGACTGACTTGCAAACATAGAGCTTATTTACCTTTGCTTACCATAATCGGAATCGATATGTGCGATCTTTTCGTCAAGATAGACCCCCGGTCCGGCCAATCTCGCGGTAACTGTCCTCGAGAAGGCTGTGTGGCGTCTCTGCGGTTCCGTGTGTCTACTTACGCCTCAAGTTTCAAGCGCTCTAATTCTTTCAAGGCCTGTTCCACACGCTCGACCTCTTTACTGGCGTCCGTCAGCTTGTCCTGCTCCTTCTGCCTCGTCTCTTTGTTGGCCTTCTCCCAGCCCTTGCCCTGCATGATCTTCTCCGACTTGTCGACCTTGGCCTTAGCATCGGCGAGTGTCTTCTCCCGCTTCTTGATTTCGTCGCCAATATCAATGCGGCCGACGATCTTCAGGTAGACGGCCGCGTCGGCGTTGATGCTCTGCAAGGCGCAGCCAGCAGGCGGGAGAGCGTCTGCGGAAGGCGGCAGGATCTCAAGCTCGCCACACGTCTTACCGCCCAACGATTTGATGGATGTCTTCTCCGACGAAGCGGTCTTGAAAGCCGACTCCGAATAGGTCTGAACAATAAGATCACCAGGTTCTTTGAAGCCGTACTGGGACAACAGCGATCGGATTCCCGTGGCAATGTCCATGATGAACTCGTACTGGTCTGCTTCTTGTGGCTTGTCGAGCTTCTCGACATACTCAGGGAACCGTGCAATCATAATGGATTCCGTACTGTCACCCTTGCGTCTAGGCAGCTTCTGCCACAAGTGCTCGGTCAGGAACGGCATGATGGGGTGCATCAAGAGCAGGCCACCTTCAAGTGCGGTGTAGAGGGTCTGCTGTGCTGATTTGCGGTCTTCCTCGGCAGCCTCCGTTGTCAGGATGTATTTGGAGTTCTCAATGAAGGTATCACAGAGCGAATTAAACCAGTATTGATACAGTGTGCCTGCGGCAACGGAGAATTCGCGAGTCTCGATGGCCTCATTGACATCCCTGGTGGCCAGGTTGAGGCGATGGAGAATCCATTTCTCCGCTAGTGACCGCGGCTCGTTGTCGGTGAGCGACTTATCAGGCTGAAATCCATCACCTAGTCGAGCGAGAGCGAAGTTCGTGGCTTGATAGATTTTGTTGCAGAATCTCCGCTTGGCCTCAATCTCCTTGATATCGAAGGCAATATCGCCGCCTCCAGTTGTATAGTTGATGAGGGTGAATCGAAGGGCGTCAGTACCACACTCTTCGATGCCTTTGGGGAAAGCTGACTTCTGATAAGCTTTTGCTCGCTCTATTTCGACCGGATCCAAGTTGCCGGTAAGTAAACTCTTGTGGAGGGCCTCAAGGGTGATGCCACCAATAATGTCGAGCGGATCAATAACGTTGCCTAATGATTTCGACATCTTGCGGCCTTCAGAGTCGCGGATGAGTGAATGACAGTAGACCTCTGTGAATGGCACCTCGCCTGTGAGCTTCAAGCCAAGCATGATCATACGGGCCACCCAAAAGAAGAGAATGTCCCAGCCAGTTTCCAGCATAGTTGTTGGGTAAAGCTCACGCATATCAGATGTTTCTTGAGGCCACCCAAGTGTCGAGAAAGGCCAAAGTCCCGACGAGTACCAGGTGTCGAGCACATCCTCATCCCACTTCAGTGTGAACTTCTTGCCGGGGAACTTCTTCTCCGCTTTCTCGCGAGCCTCTTCTTCTGATAGAGCGCACACCCACCACTTGCCATCCGCTTCGTCGGCGGCCTCACCTTCCACATCAACAAAGTAAGCAGGTGCGCGGTGTCCCCACCACAACTGTCTTGACAAACACCAGTCCTGAATGCTTGCCATCCAGTGGTGGAAGCGTCTGGATTCTGTCTCTGGCTTGATCAGGATACGACCATCAGTCACGGCATCGTCAGCAGCCTTGGCCAACTCAGCCATTCGCATCCACCATTGCGGCTTCAGCACGGGTTCCACGACGTCCTTGCTTCTACTGCAAAGAGGAATAGTCATAGGGTTGTCTTCTTGTTTGTTGTACAGGCCGAGCTCTTTGAGATCGGCGATCACCTTGTAGCGTACATCGAATCTCTTCTGGCCATTGTAAGGACCTGCGTTCTCATTGAGAGTGCCATCGTCATTGAGGATGTTGATGAAGTCGAGCTTGTGTCGCTGACCCTTCGTGAAATCGTTAGGGTCGTGGGCAGGAGTAATTTTCACAGCACCAGTACCGAAGTCCATCTCGACTTCATCATCGGCAATGATGAGAACCTTGCGGTCAGGGAGGAAAGGGTGAATGGCTAGCTTTCCCACAAGATGCTGATATCGCTTGTCGTTGGGGTGCACAGCAACGGCTGTATCACCAAGCATGGTTTCGGGACGAGTGGTGGCAACCTCGATGTACTCATGGCCTTCAAATTTGCCGGTCAATGAGCCACCTGTTGTGTCCTTGATTGGGTAACGGAAATACGTGAGTACACCGAACTCAATCATCTTGTCGTATCCGGGCACCTTGATTTTCGTCCTACCCTTCAGCTCCTTGTTGTCCACTTCCAAATTCGACAGCGAGGTACTCAGGGCTGAGCACCAGTTGACGAGTCTGTTGGCGCGGTAGATTATTCCCTCCTCGTAGAGTTGGACGAAACTTCCTTTCACAGCTCTTGATAGATTTTCATCCATCGTGAAAGCTTCGCGGGACCAATCCATTGAGCCGCCCAGCTTCTTCAACTGCTTGGTGATATTGGCGTGGTACTTGTCTTTCCATGTCCAGATCTTCTCCACCATGGCTTCTCGTCCTAGGTCGTGTCTCGTCTTGCCCTCAGTCTTCCACAACATCTTCTCAACCACACTCTGCGTAGAGATACCAGCGTGATCCATGCCTGGAACCCAGGCGGTAGTCTTGCCCTGCATCCGTGCATGTCGGATCATAGTGTCTTGAAGAGCATTGGTGAGAGCGTGGCCCATGTGGAGAGCGCCGGTGACATTCGGCGGAGGGATGGGAATGACAAACTTGCCCTCGGGCTTGATCTTGCCATCCTTGGTGAACTCAGGCTTGAAGTATCCCTGGCTCTCCCACCAGTCGTATCTGCCATCCTCAATCTTTTTAGGCTCGTAGGCATCCACGGCTGTTGGCTTCTTGACCTTCTCTTTCTTTGGTTTCGCTTCAGTGCTAGCAGCAGGCTGCGCTTGCTTGACTTTGGCCTGTTTGGCTTGGAATTTGGCAAGCTTTTCGGCCTTTTGGCGCTCTTTCTCGACTATCGCGGTCCGTCAGATCATGCCCAGCAAAGCTCAGTTGAGAGTCATACTTTCTTTCGCGGTTTTCTCTTTGCCAGCAGCGCCCATCACGGTCTGTCCAATATCGTTGCCCACCTGGTCTTTTCCGGGCGCATTTTGTCCCATTGGGTCATTTTTCGCGGAGTCCTGTACGGCGGAGGTCACATCTTTGGACACGGGTGGCGGAGGTCCAGAAGGCGAGCCGGTAGGTGAGGCCGCTGGCACGAAGCATCGGTTACTAGTCCTATCGCAACTGTGAAGAACTTACTAGCATTATGGGAAGCAGCGTTCGTCGCCATTCGATTGAGCCGCCTCCAAAGAGGAGGAGGGCGCCGAGAAAGGGATCTGAGAAGTATTTTGACCAAGCTTTGATTACGGCAAGCAGGAGCAGGGTGTGTATCTCAAGGGAAGAGGTGTGTTGTAAACCATGAGTCACGGATAGTTACAGAGTATCTTGCGGGCAGGGGAGGTGCGCATGACTCGTGCTGATTTTTGCGAGTACATTTGTTGCTATCAATTCGAGTCATTTAGCACAAAAGTCACGTGCTTCACCTCTTGTGTGGAGAATTCCTGGAGATCAGATGATCGGAGGCTCATCACAAGCGTCTGGACAGTAGGCGAGTAGATGCTCGTGTGCATCTACTGGACTTGGCGAATTACCAGAAATTGAGGGTCGACAAATTTGATGAAAGGGTTCCCAAACTCACACCGAACTATTACCCCTGGGCACGCCAAGGCTACCAACGAGTCGCCGGGTCGCAAAAGTGATGGACGGGCTTCCTTAACAGAGGATCACATCCTGATAGGCACTCTGCTGTGAGTTCGTGGAACATGTCTGCCAATTTTGTCGGCCCCGGGTGACGCCTGCCCAAGCTGAGTGTGGACTCCTGATATGGAGCGGTATGAAGAGAATAAGTATTTGATCCTGCTACGACCCTTTCGTTGACTACAGCTTGCCTCCGTCCATCATCAATTCGTCATGCTCAGTCGTCAACATCGGCGCTCTTCATCGGAGGAGCCTCGGCCAGCCCGCATTCTTCCGCCAGACATTTAGGCCAATAGCCGTAGACGCAGGTTGTTCAGGTGTCGTGCTCCATTTAGGTGCCCTTGACACAGGATAGGAGTGAGTAAAGAAGCGAGTTATTTGAATTTCTCATTTCAGGAAACGTGGTTCTGAGCACTTTGCGTAAGCACACCCCTTACAGGATTAAAGTATGGATGCGCCATTGCTTCCTGGGCGGTGAGGCGTTCCTAAGAATGGTGTCAGTACAAAGTCAGGGTGCGGTTGTGCATACATACCTGATGGTCGTAACGCAGCAGCTTGTCGAGGAAGTCTATGGCCTCGGCGCTGACGAAGCGCTGATTATCTTGGTTGACGAAGCTCTGCCAGCTCTTTCGAGGGAACCTGCTAAGAATATCGTCGTACTGGGCATCAAGCTCGATATCGTACTTGTCAAGATATTCAAACAGCTCATCCGTCCCGAGAACCTTCGCAATCTTGACGAGCTGGTCCGAGTTGCTGTTGCCGTGGAAAAAGGGTTCCTTGCGGAAGATCATGGAGGCAAACATAGCCCCCAGAGACCACATATCGAGCGAATAGTCGTACTCTTGGAAGTCCACCAACAGCTCCGGGCCTTTGAAGTACCGGGACGCCACCCTTACATTGTACTCGGTACCCTGATGATAGAACTCAGCCAGTCCCCAATCAATCAGCCGCAGCTTCCGTTTCTGGTGATCGATCATCACGTTGTGTGGCTTGACATCTCGGTGCATGATGCCTTTGCTGTGACAGAAATCGAGGGCCTTGAGCAGCTCGAATATGTAATAACGTACATCGTAGTCGACAAAGCGAGGGTACAGGGTACGGAAGTCTGTGTTATCGACATTCTCAAAGATCAAGCTAGGCGTTTTACTTTGGCTGTCGCGCACAACATCTAGCAAGGCTACAATGTTGGGTCCGCCGGAGAGGTTCTGCAGAATCTTGATCTCGCGCTTTATCTTCTTCTTCTTGACGGGCTTGAGAACTTTGATGACGCATTTCTGATAGTTGGCAACGTTGATACCTTCGAACACTTCTGAGTATTTTCCCCGGCCTGGATGCGGTCAGCGTGCGTCTGATGTGGGTGCGGGGATGACTGACCGATCTTTCTCACAATCTCGTAGTTTTCCAGTACGCCCCAAGAGATCGCCACCGAGTCGTAGTCCCAGTACGATCGGGGCATATTAGCGTTGACATCCGCGTAAACACGCGCCATTGTGACTGATTCGAGAGGACCGCATGCGATGTCGGTGTGCGCCACGAAGTGCTCAACTGCAACGCTGGAAGCGGCGATGCCGTGCCGAACGAGCGACTCGTAGACGGACAAACAGTCTCCTTGGTGAATGCGAACAAAATCTGATATGTCAATGTAGTTAGGGAAAAGATGGTGCAAGGTGGGCTGGTGAAGTTGGAAGCGGGCGCGATGGAGATCTGCTCAGCCCACCTGCGACATGCCCGCTTAACCCCAGCCTTCGCGTCCATTCGCTTCAATAATTTTCTTGTGAGCCTCCATCCTCAACTACCATGTGAGCACACGACATCCGCTACACTCTGTAGGCCCCGATATTCTCAACATGCAGCTGCACGCTCAATACAGCTCTCTTTATCACGATGCCGTATCATGACCTCAACCTCCTCCACTCCCCCGACAGCCGTACCCTCAACCACGCCCTGTCCTTCGCGACCGAACTAGGCTACACGACCATCGCAATCGCCACCATCATCAACGGCAAGCTACCCTCTACGCCCCCGGTCCTGGACATCAAGCCACTCCAAGATGCGCACCCAAGCCTCACGCTCCTCACGCGTCTGACCCTCCCCATCAGCGACCCCTCTCAAAACCACCGCCTCTCCCAATTTTCCTCCGCCTTCTCCCTCCTGGCCCTCCGACCTCTGAACGAAAAGTCCCTCCAGCTCGCCTGTACCTCCCTGGATTGCGACCTCATCACGCTCGACCTCTCCGCGCGCCTCCCTTTCATCCTCAAGTTCAAGACCGTTTCAGCCGCCCTGCAGCGCGGCGTACGCTTCGAAATCTGCTACGCCCCGGGCGTCACGGGCTCGAGCGATGCGAAGCGCAATCTCATCGCCGGCGCCACCAGCCTGATACGGGCGACGAGAGGCCGCGGAATCGTGCTGAGCTCCGAGGCGCGCAACGCGCTGGGCTTGCGCGGGCCGCACGATGTGATGAACATCTGTCAGGTTTGGGGTCTGGAGCAGGCGAGGGGCAAAGAGGCCGTGGTCGAGGAGGTCGGCAAGGTGGTCAGGCTGGCGGCGCTGCGGCGGCAGAGCTACCGTGGGGTCATCACCGTTGTCGACGGCGGCGGCGGCAAGCTGACCCCGAACGAGGCTGCGAAGGCCGGCAAGCAGGCCGTTCGGGTCGACAACGGGCGCGCCGTAGAGGGGTCCGGGAATGGCGTCAAGCGGAAGGCCTCGTCGCTGACCCAAACTACCAGCTTGGCGGCCACTCCGGCGACCACGGAGTCATCAGGCCCAAGCTCGGCACGTGACACGGCGAGTGAAGAGATTGGGACTGAGAAGCCGCCCTCGAAGCGCGAACTGAAGCGCAGGGCGAAGAAGGCGAGATTGGAAGGGGGCATGTCTCAGTCTCAGTCTCCGTCACAGGCGCAGGCACAGGCGCAGGCACAGGCACAACAGCCGAAAATGGATGGCAAGTTCCCCGTCAGGCATGAAACGTTGCCCGTGGCAAATGCGGGCGCGAGCTCGAGGAAGAAGTAATCGTACGGAGTACTGCTGCCATATGTGCGTGAAGAAGAGAAGAAGGGTGCTGAACGAGAATAGTCTCGTGCAGCTACTAGCAGTCTAGATAACCATCAAAAAGCAAACCTCGCAATCAAAGGAGGTATCTACAGGACGCTTTTGCTTCAGCAAGCTGCTCTTGGGCTCGACCTCGTAATCAATCGTACACTTCTTGACGTTGATGTGGCGTTTCTGCATACTGTAGTTACTAACAAACACATTTCTTGCGCTCACACTTAGAAGTACTCGCTTCGCCAGCCACCCCCATACTAGACAAGTCAAGTCACTCTCTGGGTTTTCCCATTTGCTCTATCTTGTAGTGTGTACAGTGTATCTACCTGAATCTATTGATTTCCCCTTTGGATGTGTAGATAGGATGAGGGTTTGATTCCCACACATACACAGATACAAATTACATCTCAAAAGCCTGCCATCGCGTATAGTAAATGTATGTTGGGGTTTTGCTCCTTCGTGATGGCCGACAGTGTATGATGCAATCCGGCCAAACAACGATGACCGCTTCTTGTCGTTTCGACGGAAGCCCAGAAATGACGGGGCACCAGCGACAACCACTATCCTCCTCGTCTTCCTCCACGACACGCGCTGTCCTCTCTGTTTCTTCTCTTGTTCCTCTTCTTCAGGGTGTGTGGTGTGCACATTTGAGAAAAATAGTAAAAAAATAAGTTCTTCAAGCCTAATCCTGTCGCCTCTCTCCTCGCCCTTTCCCGTCACCCAGGTCCGGATATATTGGTAACGACAGGAAGAAAATTCATGTCAGGTCTCGCTTCTTTCTATGTAACAAAACAGGCAGGGAAAAGGAAGAGCTTCCGCGTGCTTCAACTTCAGGTGCTGAAGCCCTCGCTCGGCACGACGAAACGAGCCTTCCGTCGGCGGCGCTCGCCAACGCCCAGCACGCCGTAGTTGCTCATCGTCAGGCTCGAGACGTCGATAGTGGTCTCGACGGCATCGACCTGCGCGGCGGCTGTGACGGCATTGGCCGCAGGCTCAGTAGTGGTTGCGGAGGCTTCTGTGGTGGCTGCCACGGCCTCGGCGACCTCGCTGGTAGCGCTTGAGGCCGACTCGGAAGTCTCCGAGGTAGCGGCTCCACTGGTTTCTGAAGCGGCGGCAACTGACTCTGAGGTGACTGAGGATTCGGCGCTGGTGGCGACAGCAGATTCTGCAGCAACTTCTGTAGCGGAGGTTGCAGCTTCAGTGGCTGAGATGCCAGCGGAACCAGCGGAGCTAACAGCGTTATTTGTGCTGTTGCCTGCCCCAAAGAAGGCGCCTGCTGTAGGCATAGGCATAGGCATACGTGGGGCGGTGAAAGGCGGGATCACATTGGGGTCGCCTTTCGCAAGGGCAGCTAGACCCGGCATAATCGACGCCCATGTGGTGAAATGGCTGCCGGTAAAGACCTGGCCAGGTGGGATTGGCATTGCGTGACCCGGGGGAGCGGCTGAGAGTGGGTTAGCTGAATTTTGGTTGTAGCTCCAGACCACGCCTGGCAGAGTGCTGAAGGGGGGAGACGCACCAGTGACATGAGCTGGGGGAGGAGGGGCGTGGCTCATAGGAGGTGGGGCGTGACCCATTGGAGGCGGCGGTGGTGGGACACCAGCAGTCACTCCAGCAACAGGAGTGCATTCTTGCACTTCCGTGATGGTGACATGCTGGACCTGCTGTTCAGTGACCGTGATGTGCTGAGGAACGGTGACTTCCTTGACTTGTTGCTCAGTGATGGTCACATGTTGGACCTGGTTCTGGACATCGGTGATAGTGACATGTTGAAGAGCAGTCTCTACAACTTGTTGTACTTCCGTAGCAGTCGCAGTTAGCTTTTGGACCTCCGTGGCGGTGATATTCCGAATCTCCGTTGCGGTGAGGTGTTGAATCTCTGTCTGAACAGCGGTTATCGTGAGCTGCTGGATTTCAGTCATTGTGAGCTGGCCGATATTAGTCAGATGTCATCGTTCACGATAAAATGCTTACATGGACGGTCTCGGTAACTGGGGGTGGGGGAGGTAGCTGCTCGGTGATCAACTTCTCAGCAACCTCTGTCACCGTGACATGAACCGGTGGTGGCGTAACCGTCAGGTGGACTGTCTGATTGACTGGAGGTGGAGGAGGTAGCTGCTCGGTGATGAACTTCTCGGCAACCTCCGTGACCGTTAGGTGGACGGTTTCAGTGACTGGAGGAGCAGGAGCCAATTCCTCAGTAACTGTAATATGAACGGTCTCAGTGATGTGGACTGGTTCGGTCACGGTAATCAGCTTCTCCTCAACGACAGGAGCTGGCGGTGGGGGGCACTCGGCCGGGGCGACAGGAGCCGGGGGCGCGACGTGCTCGGCTGGAGGAGGGGTGTGTGCTGCTGGAGGAGGAGTATGTTCTGCTGGAGGAGTATGTTCTACTGCTGCCGGAGTGGTAGTATGAACGGCCTCGGCAGGAGGCAAACTGCTCTCCACCGGAGGAGCCTCAACCGCTGCTGGGGTCTCCTCTGGAGGTGTGCGTCTGTGAAAGGCGGGACCGGCCCATGCTTGCGCCAGGCAAGCAGACAGCAGAGTTACTGTCGTAAGAGAGCGAAGTGCCGGCATCGCGATTAGTGTAGAGGAAGAAAAGTTCTATTAAGTGAGGTAAAATGAGTGCAATGGGTAAATGTTGCCCTCGTAAGGAACGACTAGCGCTCAATTAGAACAGAAGGAGTGAATCTGCAAAGGATTGAAGAGTACAGATTGAGGACGGGATCAGCGGCACGGTTTTGAGGGAACAGTCTCTGACTTATCCTCCCGCTGAGCGCCTTGGCTCTTGCAGCATGTTGAAAGAAGATTAGCAGGAGTTCCGACATCTCGGCGTGGTAGGCAGCCGGACGGGGTGATTTAGGTCATTGACCATGCTCCGACAGCGACGGTGTGAATCTGAGGTAGCCGAACATGCATGTTCATAGCCAAGCTCAAGCAAAGTAGGTCTGGGCAGTTGACGGAATACTCGCCATTTCACTTGGCAAGGCAGCCCCAAACAGGAGAGAGAAGAGACAGGTCGATGGCGAGACATTGTTGTCTTCAGAAAGGTCAGAGGTCGACGCATTGGGCATTCGTCTATCCGTTGTTAGGGGTTTGGTGCGGTGGATAGCGTCGCATGGCCTTGCTCCCGTCCTGTGACACACTAGTGGTTTCAGTAGCCAGGGGAGTCAGGGTAGGGTGTGATATGGATAGTACCGCTGCGGCTAGATGTGCCAAGCCATCTAATCGGTTTTCTGACCTTGATAAGACTCAACGGCTTGTGTCAGCAACGGAGCTTGTTCGCTAGACGAATTCCAGGTTGCGGTAGACCAAGGGCCAGGCGCGATCCACAACGGAGCAAATCTGTCTTCCGAATGCATTGATGGCCGAGGCAAGGAGGGGATAGATCACGGAGGAGCACAGAGAATATGTCAAGGGATGGTGTCTGATAATGTCTTTGATGAGGTATGAAGTATGATGAATGTGGTAGACGTCGTGCTTCACGACTTCCTAACGGAGTATCTCGGAGGGTCCGGGCCAAGCGAGGCAGGAGTGACCTGCAGCAGTCCCTTGGCACTACGGCGGCCCAAGTACGGTGAAGTATTCGCGCCATGAACGTTGACGCCGTTCAGGGATTTCATCGTCCGAAACCTGCAAGGCAACGTTTTTCCAAGCTTCCCTTGCCTCCCATCTCTTATTGGCTCGAAAGTCCGCCAGCGGACTGTTCAAGGCCCATGGGGGACGGGATGCATTGTCATTCGGTAAGCCAGCTTCTAGTTGAGTATAATGACACAAGCGAACCGGATTCAGCCCTGACGCTGGACCCTGGGGCTTGTTCAGCGGTATCTAACGGGCGGGCCTCAGCCGGCTTCAGCCTCCCAAGGTGTTGAGTACCTTGACTATCATTTTTAGCCTGCTGCTACAAGGCCAAATTCTTCCCGCCACTGTGCCAGTTAGGTCCGCATACGCGCCTTAGCGTGATCGCCATTCCGAACCCAGTCATGCCGTTCAAGGTTCCAAGGGAGCACAAGACAGGCACCATGCACGACAAGTCCGTTGCTGGCACGTCCTCGCGGAGAGAATGCGACGATCGCACTATTGTTCTGTCAGGCTGTGTGGACCGGTTGGAAATCCAATCAACCGTTGCAACGTACCGGGGCCATGCTGCGGCCCTTCCATGATTCAAAAGCCTTCTATGATGCTTGTCCCACCTCTACAAATAGCATTTTCTGTCATATCCGAATGGTCTATCATAGACTCCAAAGTCACCGTGCTGTAAAGTTAACAAGGGCGTTCTGAACGAGATCTTCCATATATGGGGAGGTTGGATCGACCAGCCACGCCATTTTTCCCAACCCAATATCTACCAACCTCTTCCCTTTCACACCAACAACAATCTGCCACCATAGCACAATGGAGACAACATCCATGTTGTTGCAATGTCCGCCCGAAGTCCGTGAAATCATATACAACTACGCTTTCGAAGACCACCCAATCCATGTCTGCGACGTCCGCCTGAAGCGCTCGATAGGAGGGCCCAACCGGCCGGCAAACAGACGGTTACCAGGCTTGCTGCACGCCAACAAGCAGACGTACCAGGAAGCGTTGCCTGTTGTTGCCCGTCAAGCGACGCTCGTCTTCAGCGACTATCTCAACTTTGCCCAGCTCGCCTCAGTGGTGCCCAAAAGCTTCGCATCGTTGGTGCGAAACATCTCGCTACAAGGCGATGTTGTTCCCGGTCATAGTCTAGGTCGCTTCCCGTCGCTAGAGCATGTCAACTATAAACAGCTCGGGAACTGCTTCTTCGTTCCGGCCAAAGAGAAGGGTTTCGCGAAGCGAGTTTCAGCAGCTTCCAAGCAAGAAGTCATCGATTCTGTCTTGGGCCGTTCCTCGTCACTGGTACTGATACAAGACGCCTTGCGGAAACGACCAAACCATGTCACCTTGATAGCTCGCGCTACAATCATGAGTTACCATGAGCAAACCGTAAGTCGGACAATCATCCTGCTGGGATCATTCTCTAATGCATGTTTCACAGAGTGTCACGTTTGACGTCAACCAACTTCGGATTCTCAGTCATGAAGTTCTCGTGCATTACGATTATGATGATTAATTCAAGCACAAGCCTGTTGACACACTAATGCGGGTGCTCAAGTCGAGGATTCCGACTCGCCTACAATTGCGTGTTTCAAGAAAGGGGCGATGATTCAACGAGAAACGTGTATGACTTCATGATGGATTGTACGAGTACTGAGGCATAGCTTTACACATGTCAATATATCTGAGCCGTCCCCACGAGGACAGGCTCTATTGTAGATTCGCGATCGGCTGTCCGAAATCCGTGCATCGGACAAGCACCTTGTTCACTCGGCGCATACGCAATCCTCAAAGTTCTTCGCACAACTCGGCTTCACTCGGAGATGCCGTCAGAGTCTCATATCTCTCGACAGTCTCGACAGTCTCTCAATAACGGCCTTCCCAGGTCGTTGAAGATCCATGCTGATCTTGCTGGCATCTACCTGGTGGTCGCCGCAACATATCACTTGCCCAGTTCAGGCACAAACCACGAACTTCGAAAAGGCGTATTCGGATGTGGCGGTGCCACAGAAGGGTATTTTTGGCCGAAACCGCTGACCCAGGCCGCTGCACCGCTGCACTGCTGCACTGCTACCGCAACACACCGTGATTCGCTTGTGCCTGTTTACATCCCTCCCGAACTGTGTTTGTCCGTCGTCATGGCCTGGACCAGTGCGGACCCCTCAGGCGTACAGCATTGCGAAAGAACAAGGCTAACCTGAGTAACCCTCTGCCGACCACTGCCTAGCTCGCAGCGCATGCACAGCCACTGCGCCACAGCCCCCCTTTGTCCTGCCTATTGGTCGAGTACCTTGATGAACGTCGTTGGGGGCCAGAATCCTCCTCCTTCGCTACTGGACCTCGACAACATGACTGCCTAATCCATCCTTCTGAACCTTTCATAAGCCATCTTCTGCAAGAGGTCGGCGTTCACTGCGTAGTTTCCCCTCGCTGTCGGCTCACCACAGTGACTTCACCTGGAAAGGGACCGCGCTGCGAGTGAGGGCCCATCGTAAGTAAGCTAATTGCAGCACCCACTTTCCTGCCCTGTGAGACTGCCGGAGAACTCCAAGCATCATGTCTGCAAACGACTACTATGCTGGTAGTGGTGGCGGCGGCGGCGGCGGATCTAGCAATTACCAACAGTCCTCCTACGGCGACGGTGGAGGGAACTACGGCAACAACAGCTTCTCGCAAAGCGGCTACAGTCAAGGCAACCAACCATTCTCGCCCCCACCCACGATCTACACACCGGACTCCAGCACCCAGCACTCGCCCTACCCGAGCGCCGTCCAACCGTCCTACGATCAGCACAACGCCAGCGCAGGTTACGGCAGCGCCAGCAACTACGGCACTCCCGTCCCAGGAAACTATGGCAGCCCCTACCCGTCCCAGCATGACTACGCCCGTCCCCACATCCCATATCAACAACTCTCGTACGACCAAGCCCAGAACCAGGGCTACAACAACGACTACGCCGCCCGCTTCGGCGGCTCCCCGTACCCCAACCAGCCCGGAGCGGACGGCGGTCACAGCCCCCAACCTTCTCACGCCTCACCCTACGGCGAACCCCCATCCTACAACAACAGCAATAGCGGCAACTACGTCCAAGGCCCACCACCAGCAGCAGCACCAGCACCAGCACCAGCACCAGCGGTAACAGACCCCTACGCCGGGGCCCCGCCGCCCGGCCAATACGCCCAGCCAGGCGACCCCTCGAACAAACCCAACGACAAAGGCCTCATGGGCGCGCTCGCAGGCGGGGCCCTCGGCGGCTACGCAGGCCACCAGGTGCACCACGGCGTTCTTGGCGCGGTCGGTGGCGCTATTACGGGGAGTTTGGCGGAGGATGCCATTTCCGGGGGGAAGAAAAAGAAGGAGAAGAAGGTCAAGAAGATGTGGGGCCGCCGCCGCAGCAGCAGCAGTTCGTCCAGTTCTTCTTCAAGTAGTGACAGCAGCGATGACGAGGAAAAGAAAAAGAAAAAGAAGGCTGCTGCTACCGCTGCTGGTGGTGGTGGTGGTGGTATGGCGCTCCGTGGGAACTTTAGCAGCAGCAGCTCCAACGTGGAGTTGCACGGCACCGATCTCGTGGCGTGGTGCCAGCCCATCAGGGGGAGTTCGAGAAGGAGTGTCATCAACCTCAATGCCTGTCTGGGGAATAACGGAGGCAATTTCTTTTGGGGACGAGGAGGGAATTTCGCGGCGAGCGCGAGGAATATTCGGCTGGTGGAGAGGGGGAGGGTGCTGGAGTGTGAACTTGGAGATGGGAGGGGTGGGTGGCGCAGGAATCTGGTGAGGCTGGATGAGAGGATCACGAATCGGGATGGGAGGTTGGAGTTGTTGGACTGATGTGCTAGTTGTAGTCTTGTAGAGCGGTGGAAGAGGGCGGATGCGGTGGGCGGCGAGGGGGCGGATCTACAGCTGCGGGCGTGACTACATACATGGATGGACTACTCATCGTTAACATCAGCTACAACTACTATGTAAATAAGTGCATGACAGCCGTCGTGTGCACGACGGCGAAGATGCCTGTGGTAATCATCCTTGCGCCGAGATAGACGCATATATTCGACGCTTGGCACAGGGGCTTCCACTCAGGTACACGTGCAGAAAGGGATAGCATTGTTCGTACAAATTTCTTAACGCTCCAAACTATCATAACGATATCCGTACGTAAGGTAGCATCTCATCGTAGAAACAATCCGATTCCACGTCAAACCCGAGACATCTCACATTCTCGCGCCCAACTATGTCTCTCTCTCTCCCCTCCCCTCGCCCAGCCCAAACCCCTTCTTCACGTCTCCCTCCGCTTCAACCCCACATTCAGGTACAATGGTTTCCTAAGGAAGCCTTCTCTCGTAAGGAGCTCTTTCTCCTCATGCTCATCCCTAAACTCGAAATTCCGAAACACCGTCGCCACAATACACTTGAGTTCCATCTCGGCCACATTCCTGCCCACGCACGCCCTGGGCCCGTAACTAAACGGGATGAACGCCTCCTTCTGCTCCGCCGTCAGCCGGCCCTCCTCCCAGCGCTCGGGCACAAAGTCCTCGGCGTCCGGCCCCCACAGCGTCGTGGAGTGGTGGATCGTGTACGCGGGCACGCTGAGCGTGGTGCCGGGCGGGAAACTGTAGCCCAGCAGTTCACACGGCTTGGGATTCGGGTTGTCGGCGCTGGCCATGGGCACCAGGCGCGGCAGGCCGAGCGAGCTGGTGCTGTGGATGCGCATGGCCTCCCAGATGACGTGCTGCACGTACGGCAGGTCCTTGACGGCGTCGTAGCTGGGCACGCCGGGCCCGATGGCCGCGTCCAGCTCCGCGTGCAGTTTCTCCACCACGCCCGGCGTGCGGAGCACCCAGTACAGCAGCGCGCAGCTGGTGTTGGAGGTGGTGTCGCTGCCGGCGATGAGCTGCGTGAGGGCCTCGGCCGTGAGTTCCTCGCGGCCCAGCTTCTCGCCGCTGGCGTCCTTGCCTTCCATGAGGCGCGCGAGCAGGTCCACGCGGCCGATGTCCGGGTTCTGCAGGCGGTCGGACACGCGCGCGATGGCGATGCCGGCGAGGTTCTCGACGGCCTCGACGCCCTGCGAGAAGAACTTGTCGGGAAGGTAGCGCGCGTAGGGTTTGAGTTGGGGGAGGCAGCCCAGTGTGCCGGAGACTTCGCCGCGGCGGTTGAGGACTTCGATCGCGGGGGCGGTCGTAGGTGGCGAGTTGGGCGATTTGCGGATCTCGGCGATGTCGCGCTCGCGCTCCAGCATGCCGAAGGGGGCGCCGAAGGCCAGGTCGCCGATGATGTCGAACGCGAGGTAGCTGATGGAGGATTGGTTAGCTGAGGTGGCTCGAGGGGGAAGCTGAGGAGGCTCGAGGAGGGCTATCCAGGGCGGGTGAGGACGTGACTTGAGATGCATCTCCAAACGATGACTTTCTTGGTGAGTCAGGACAGGACAAACTTACTTGAACCAGTGCAAGGCATCGATACTAGCATACCCCGTGGACGGATTCGCCTTCTCCTTGGCCAGCTTGTTCCACTTGGAGTAGAAGAGCTCGAGGTTGCTGTGGATGTACTGCTCAAATTGACCGATCGACTTTGCGGAAAAGGTATGGCTGACGATCTTGCGCTTCCGTGTATGCTCGGTGCGGTCACGCGTGTTGAAGAGGCCGCGGCGGATGGAGACGAAAGCATCGTAGTACTCGCTGCGGAGGATTAGCACACCCGGGTCTGGAAAAGGGACGCTATGGGAGCTGCTGTCGTGTGCACAAGAGACACTGGTTCAGTAAGGATGAGAACTCACGCTTTGAGAAATCCGTTACCGTGGCCGTAGATAACTGGTATGGCATCGGGGTCTGCAATCGAGACATGGTTGGGCTGAATCCGCACGACCTTGCCGTACTTCTTGTGCGCTTCGTCGACGGCCAGATACCGTCTGCCGTGGCGGCATTGATACATTAGCCATAGATTGGTGAACTGAGCTGGGAAGGGTCCGGGAATGCGGATGAGGGCCTTTTCGCGGACATAGGGTAGTAGGTAGTAGAGCACGGGTATTAGTAGGAGCGCATAGGGCGTCAGGAGGTAGTCGGTGAGCAGCATGCTGGAGTTCCGAATCTGACCGACGCCAGTCTGATCTGAAGTTGGAGGAAGATTGGTCGAGTTGACGAATTGAATGGTGGAGGGGCACGCGCTGCACAAGATCGGTTTGACTATGAAGAGATGCTGTTGTCGATGAGTGTCTGCTGGCCCAAGGTGACACCAGAAACGAAGTCGATATATGGCTTGCTTTAATATGCCACGGAATGCGTGTGGATGTACAAGGCAACCTGTCTGTCTTGAGCAGGCTGACGGGCTACGTATAGGTCTGACTGAGCCGGTATGAGCTCACGGCCGCGGCCCAGAAGCACGGAACTGAAGATCGGGATGCAGAATCTAGGGTAGGTCAAGATCATGGCTGGAGTTGAGCTACGCTGCTGGGGTGTGGGCACCTATGGGCAGCTCTGCTTGGGAGTGAGACCTCCAGTCAAAGGCTAGTTCTCTACCCCGCCATCTACTGACTGGGGGCTTTCAGACGCCGAGTTGAGCATCCGAGAAGAGCGTTCGGCCCAGTGAATTCTGCTCACTGTCAGAGGCATCTTCTGTCTCTCCTATTGGATGAATAGTTTTGCCTGTGCGGAGGTCTTGGGGTCGACGATCGGATGATGCACCGCGTCCCCAGATTTGTCCTGAGCTTGCCAAGGATGAGCTTGGACATCTGCTTGGGCATCGATGGACGTATGTCCTCCTACCATGACTGCAATGCTCTTCAAAAGGGTAGTATTGCCACGGCCTGACCCTTACCAAGCTGAAGGCGATGTCTGGAGACGGGTCTCAAAGCGCCTCCACCACCTGGAAGTTGCAGATAGGCGCAATTTGTATGACCATGTTGAGACCGACCTTCAGTGCACCGTTTGTTGAATTAAGTCCTGCATAAAATTAACGCGACGCTCAGCAAGCAGGTTTGGAAGGTTGACTGACCGGATACTTCTCGTTGATGGCAGTAGCGCAGCGCTCAACATCTTCGACCAAACCCAAAACACCAGCATCCCATGCCCGAAGTTGCCGAGCAGGACCTTGAAGCTCGACTCCAGGAACACTCTCAAAGGTAATGACTCCAGCGAGTTGGTCAATTTCAGCTCGCAATCTTCCTTGCTCCACCATACGGGCAGCGTAGTCCTCAGCCTTTTCCGCAGCAGTATCGTCCTTGCCATCCTTGAGGCCCAATAGAAGAGCCAACGCCTCGGTCGAGATGTTCTCGTACAGACGACTGACAGCGATCAAGTTGTGCTCAAGGACTGCTTTACTCAAGACGGTGCTACCATCTGCAGTCTTTGCCAACTGGTGGGGCATCAAGTTCGCTGCGAATGCTTCTACTTCAGCAGGAGCAAGCAGACGATCCAGAAACATGTTCTCAAGTATGGAATAGTCCCCAGTCTCGCTTGACCGCTCATCTTTGTACAGCTTGTTCAGTGTTCGACTGCGCTGCGGACCCGCTGGTGCGAGGATTGCAGTTCGGATGGCAGCTGACAACGCAGAGAGGCGGTCTTGTTCGTCGACCTGACTACTGTTCGAGACGTTGAGATACTCGGCCGAGGCATTGAGGAAGTCCCGCCGGGAGTCGAGGATTCGAGCCTGTGAGAGTTGGTAATGAAGGGACAGGTCAGGGCTTGACTGCAGAACCTGAGCCGCCGTATTGGAATTCTTGATGCGGTTGAGGGCAGTCTCGGCGGAAACAGTATCATCGTCCTCGAGGAAACATCTCACGATGCGCACCCACGTCGTGACTTTAGCGACATCGGAGACTTGTCTCTGGGTAGACTCCAGGCGGATGCCTTGGAGAGCTTTGGCAGCAGCCGTCCAGTCTTCCTCCGCTTCATAGCCATCTGCAAGAGTTTCTCTTACTGCCGCATCTTGCTCCTCAAACGAAGCGACCTGAGTCTCTAGGCTTTCCGCTAGGTGTGATCCCACCCTAACCTTGACTTCGGCGGGAGCAGATGAGAGAGAAGCGATGAGCTGGGTCAGGAGGGGTCTGATGGCAATGACATTGAGGCCAGAGGAGGATAGTAATGAGTCTGAGTATGCAACTAGGTTCTCCCCCTTCTGTTCCACAGTGCTACCCGAGCTCAAGGCTTGTTGCAGCAGTTCCTGGTATCCTTTCGGTTTGTCAGGCGGAGCGAGGCCTGCCACAGATGCAACGGCAGCGCTGAACTCGGGCGACGCCATTCTGAGAAGGCTGAAGGATTCGGGATTGTCAGATTTCCAAGCACATGTGCTGACAAACTCGGAAAGGATTTCGTGCGTAGCGATGGTGTTTGAATGAGATCACATACTGAACGGATCAATGGTCAATCCGCAGGCATGACAATGATGCGTCGGCCGCTGGCACCGCGTTTTCTATATCTCCGTCTAAGTCCGGCGGGGACCTTGGCACCCCCCGCCCCTCCCCGGAAAGTCTCAGGACAGCATTGTGCACCGTGTGCTGTGACCTCTTGCATGCCTGTAGAGTGTTCCACGTGCCAACTCTGAGTAACCGCATCCACAAAAGTCTGGTCTAGCTTACGCTGCGGACGCCTTTTGCGGAGCCTCTCGGCTGGCTTCAGACAAGCCGTCAGCTTCGGAGGCACTCTTCCGCAGCTCTCAACCTCGACTATTCACCTGGGCCACTTATCTAGAACATGATTCGAGCCTTACAGACTAGAGGAAGTAATATCACAACACCGCTGAAACCGGCGAGAGACTCCAGGAAGCATCAGAATCACTCATCCAGGTTCACGGTAGATCTCTTAAATCCACGATGCCTACAGCCATGAGTGGCAACGACAATACTTCTACCTACTGTACAGTCCTGGCCTGAGCCGAAGCTACTATTGCTTATCGTGAAAACCACACTCTGCTCGGTGATAGGCCCATCTAGTATCTGGTCTGCTGGTCCCATTTGCTGCATATCGCTGTTGGCCTAACTCCATTCGCTTCTGCACGTTTACGACACTGGTCCTCCTTCCATCACGTTACCCCCCAGTCACGATACGGCATACGCTAAACCCAGTCTGCCTGTCAGAGCTTGGCCACGACTCCAGCTTATGCATGACCGTGCAAAGCGAGGCGTGGCACATGTATATATAACATGAGCTTACCTGTCCTCTGAGTCCAGAATCTTCACCTTGTCTGCGTGTTCCCCAATCGTATCTGTGCTCATTGATTCTAGCAACCATGTCTGGCTCGGCAGGTAAGTTCGAAACTAGGTTATTTATCAACAATGAATACGTCGATGCCAAACACCATGAGCGGCTGACTCTGGTCAATCCATTCGACGAGTCCACCATTACTTCAGATGTCCATGTCGCCGGTCCTGAAGATGTCGACGCAGCAGTTGATGCAGCAATAGTCGCTCTCAAGGGCGAATATGGCAAATTGAGCGGAGCCCAGCGCGGAGCTCTGTTGAACAAATTCGCCGACATCATCGAGAAGAACGCGGCCGCTCTCGCCGAAGTCGAGTCTCTACCAACTGGAAGACCTGCTTCAATGATTGTTGGCTTCGAGATCCCAATGATCGCTGCGACGTTCCGGTACTATGCTGGCTGGGCAGACAAACTTCCCGGCAGAATCGTTCCGTCCGACAGCAGCAAGACCAGGATCGTCCGCTACGAACCGTTGGGCGTGGCAGCTGGTATCGCCTCGTGGAATGCCACCCTTCTGTACGTCGGCTGGAAGATCGCGCCAGCCATTGCCGCAGGCTGCACCTTCATCTTCAAGGCATCCGAAAAGTCCCCTCTCGGCGCCCTCGCAGTGGGCGCTCTTTTCAAAGAAGCCGGCTTCCCACCGGGCGTCGTCCAATTCGTCACTGGCGCACGCTTGACCGGCGATCTGCTCGCCTCGCATCCTCGCATCAACAAGATCTCCTTTACCGGCTCGATTCCCGCCGGAAAGGCCGTGCAGATGGCCGCCACCAAATCCAACCTCAAGCGCGTGACGCTCGAGATGGGCGGCAAATCGGCCGCCATCGTTTTCAACGACGCCAACCTCGACATTGCCATCCAGAACGTCGGCCCCATGTTCCTATTCAACAGCGGCCAAGTCTGCGCCGCCACCTCGCGCGTCCTGGTACAAGAACAAGTCGCGCCCAAGCTCATCGAAGCCCTCAAGAGCATCTTCGCCCAATCCGCCGCAGGTCTGGACACCAATCCCCTCGAGCCCACCGCACAGCTAGGCCCCCTAGTGGACAAGATCCAATTCGACAAAGTCATGGGCTACATCAACAGCGGCAAGGAGTCGTCAGCGGAGCTGGTGGTGGGCGGCCAGCGCCACAGCGACAAGGGCTACGGCGTTGACCCCACTATCTTCGTCAACCCGCAGACCGACGCCAAGATCTGGAAGGAGGAGATCTTTGGCCCCGTGCTCGCCGTGCGCACCTTCAAGACCGAGGACGAGGCCATCGCCCTCGCCAACGACACCAGCTACGGCCTGGCCGCGCAGCTGTACACGAGCGACGTGACGCGCGCGCTGCGTGTCTCTGCGGCGCTGGAGAGCGGTAGTGTCAGCGTCAACGCTGCCTTTATGCCGGATACAGCAATGGTAAGTGAGGCCCCATACCCTATACCCATTATTTCCCTCGCCCTCGCCTCCTCTCATCCCGTTTCCGCTCCCCTGAACGTCCAATACCCCCATCAAAACATGAAACAACGCACACTGACTACATTACCCCCATACACAGCCCTTCGGCGGCTGGAAAGAATCCGGCATCGGCCGCGAGCTCGGCGAGGAAGGTCTGCGCGCCTACCTGGAGCCCAAGAGCATCTTCATCAGCATGGAGGTGCCGAGCCCGGCTTGATTGTCAGCAGTGTAAAGAGTAGCCTGTCTGTGGTGAGGCGAAGGGGAAGAAGTCTCTTACTGCCCCCAAGAAGGAAATCGCTAGGGGCGGCAGCAGGAGGGGGCGAATTATAGCAGCGGACTTTCCTGGGTTGAGGCCACGCTACTTAACGAAGGTGGGACTCCTCGCGGCATTGGACTGTGATGGAGTAACGTTGGAAGCGGATGAAGAGATCACCACGGACAGCGTTCAAGATATGTATGTTACTGCTGGAATTAGTGCTTAAGCAGGTACTGGTACTACTGGTACTACTACTATAGGAGATCGTCCATCTCTCTCTCTCCCTCTCTCTCCCCCTCCCCCCAGTTGTCCCCAAATTTTGTTCTTTGGCCGACGGAGCTATCGTTGGGTCAGTTCTGCTCCTTTATCTCCTTTTTTCCCTTCTTTGGCCTGCCCTTCCCTCCGATATCCTCCCCCTAATGCTGCCCCCCCCCCCCCCCCCCCCCCCCC